GAGGTTAATGGGGATATTACACTCATGAATATAATGTGGAAGCAAATATTTCTAATTGCAAGAAGAGGTTCTCAGAGCTCTAGTATAAATCAATTTCCTCAACTTGCAACACATCTGCATGATAAATGACGATGTCTATTACTAACTAGTACAGTATAATGTCATCCAATTAAATTACAATTTATAAAACTCGTGATTAGTTTATGGTACGAAGAAAGGTGTTATAATTTAATGTGGGGCACGCGACAAATTCATTTTTGTGTCTGTTTCAATGAAGGCGTTCATTTAGTGGCAATTCGTTGATTAGATTGTTGCGACCTATTTTATGATAAAAACGACAAACAAGCATGGTTCACTTGATTGAAGGCGGAATATCCTTCCTAGTCATATAACATCTAAACAACGTGCGTTGTCCTATTTGGATATTCGGAAATAAGTAAAACCGGAACGCGATTAAACTTCATGACTTTTTTATCTGTAGGTGGTTCGTGACCACGGAATATGATATTACTTCACCCAGTTAATAGCCAAATTACGAAAAACGAAGTCCAACATTGAAATAAAACACTTTAACGGTTTAAAACGCGATATATTAGTTAAACTTATAATATATCGCGTTTTAAATCGTTAAAGTGTTTTATTTAAATGTGTAGGTAACTACTCACGTAAATTATAGACAGAATTTGAAGTCAAACACGTTTCAGAAAAATTAGTTGGAATCATGTTGGCTTATTGATTATGAGCCATACATTGCTATCTAACGAGCCCTTAAGATACTATTCAGTTTTCTAGGAACCAGATCACCAAACTACGGAAGCAGACAAATTAATAAAAGGTAATAATCCTCATTGTAAGCGAATTAATAACCTTTAAAAATAATTAAATTCATCTCGTTTCATTACCAACATTGTATAAACAACAACAAGTATTATTTATTTTTGCAAGAATCTCAAGGTGTTCCGTACAAAATCAACATTTTGCTTACGTCATCGAGAAAAGTTTTTGTTTTGCGCTTTCATTATTAAATAAATCTTTACGGAAATGTTATTTAATGAAGTTGAATTACACAATGAGGTACTATAAGAAGACATAAAGTGACTGACTGTAATCCCCGAAATGTTCTGAACATTAAAACGGAGTGTAAGGTACCATGTAATGTCAAGGAGTTCGGAAAGCAATTATTTCTATTTAAAAATCCAGTTGTTCCATAACTCACGACATACAAAAAGGAGTGCACGAAATAAAACTTAGAGTAAGACCTAGACAGCTAAGGATTAAAATTTAGTGTTATATATGATCTCAATCTAGGAGGGAAGAGGAGAGAAAATTTCATAACAAATAATACTAGAGGAAACCTAGATTTTTTATTGTTGTTAATATATTTTGACGGTGCCAAGTGGAATAAAGCAAAATTAGTCAGCTCCTTGACATTACACGAGTATGGCCGCTCACTCGACAGCTTTGGAAATTAAAGCTTCGAAACTTGCGTATTTCAGTACACGCGATCCTACAATATTTACGTTTTAAATTTTAACTCGAATATACGCGATGTTAAAAAATATGAACCCTGTGTGCTAAATACCTTCAATAGCTAATAGATAAGTACTGTCTGTAGTTTGCGTACGCGTTTTTAAAACACCTTTAACGGTTTTAAACGCGAAATATCAGAAATTATTTAGACTACAACCCGATGGTAAAAGCATTTTATTTAAAGATATATTTTTATTTATTGATAGTTTCGTAAAAAAATAATAAATACACGTAATAAACATGGTAATTCATGAAGTTTCAAGATAGAGCCTTATTTTATAGAAGGAAAGAGTTTTGGGAAATTAAACTTAAAAATGATAGGAAAGAATGTAGGAAGCCCTCATTCGGGAAATAAATTTTAGTTTCCTTACACTCGGTGAACTCTCAACATATATGGATGATTATATAAGACCAGTATGACATGTCGGCCCGGTTCGTTTGACATGTCGACTGCGCGTAACTGCTCCTAATTCATTTATATAACAGTACTTATCTAGATATAATTATGGTACATCTTATCTTCGAGTTAGTAGCACAGTTTTTTTTTAAAGCCATTAGAATTAAAAATCATCGACACGTGTCATAAACTCGCATTCACTGCTGACCAATTGCACTACCGTGTCTTCTGACACTTCATAATAGCTATGATATTTAACGGTTTAAAACGTGAAATATATTAAACAAGCTTATTAAGAAATTATTTTACCTACAGTCAGAGGTGTCGGATGCTTTGTAGCAGTTTTGGTCACGGGGAAATAATTTGTCAATAAGTTTAACTAATATATGTCGCTTTTAAAACCGTCTAAGTATTTTATAGAAATGTATAACGTAAAGAGTGTAATTACATAAATATAGATCACCTTATTGGCTCAATGGTTAATGCGTTTACTAGCATTGCTCTCTGCCATTCAGTGTTATCTTGGAATTCGAAACCCAGAAAACCTTTATCTAAGATCGGGCTGGGCACTTTTGATCAACTTGCCTGTGATAAAAACGATTACTAATCAGACACAGATATATGTCCATCTATAAAAAGGGTTAATCTAAAATAAACGAAGATTAAATCTAAAATATTTATTCAACGACAAAATATTATTCAGTTAAATTTAAAAGGATCGAGAAACCAGGAGTCACAATGAAACTATTCAAAGTAGTTAGTGTACGCGAATAGTACACGTTTAAATAAAACACTTTAACGGTTAAAAACGCGACATATATTAGTTAAACTCCATGGCTGTTGCAAAGCATCCGAAACGTCGGGCCGTACTTAAAACGATATTCAACTAAGTTTAACCAATAATTATCGTGTTTTAATCCGTTAAATGTTTTATTTAAATGTGTACTACACGCGTATACTACAGACAGTATTTAATGGAACTATTCCTTACTGCGCGTACTTAATGCATCGTTGATTTCATATTTATAATTACGCAAACATTTTTATTTATTTAGAAAATTAACCAAATAATCTTATATAACGAAAAGTTTATATTGAGATTTAAGTCATAGTGTGAGAAGCAGGTCGACTACAACAACTGCCATTGTCTCTGGTTTTGACTTAATTCACGCAGTCCCCAGTAATAAGCTGCTAAAATTACATTCACACATTAATAGAAAATAACTAACATACCTATTTAAGAAAGAACCCGTTAGTAAAATGTTCCTATAAAAAAGAATTTGAATTAGTTAATAGAATATTATTAACACGTAGAGAGTTATAACAAAAACAAAATAAAAGAAATATTTATTGATGGAAATGTGATGGAAATTTATGGAGCCTTCAATTATATAACAGATGTGATTTTCAAGATGGGATCTAGAATTAATCTTTCGAGCGTGGGTTCATTAAACTTCTTATACATATAAACTTAAAAAAAGAAACATAATTTCCCTAAACCGCGTAATAAAGGCCTATTAAATTATATTATACCACTTGGAAAAAACTTTTTGGAAACTTTAATATTTTTCACATGTTATTGCACATGATGGCACTATATAAATTAAAAATCGATTATAAAAAAATACGACTCGCGCAGGACTTGAACCGACATCCATAGTTAATGCGTATTAAGGTTGAAACTACATTGCGCAAGAGGCATATGTATCAATAAGTTGAAAAAAATCGACGATGAAGTGTAGGACTCAGTAGCTCAATTGGTTAGAGCAACATCACGGATCGCTGCAGATGCCGGTTCAAGTCCTGCCCGAGTCGTAAATTTTTTTCAATTTATAATCGATTTTTAATTTACACTAAATACTTATTTAGCATTACTCTTTGGTGTTAAAATAACTTCTTTAACTCACAGTAGCACAAAAACAAGCAGTGAGGTTGTCACGAAAACCTTCATGTTATCTCCATCATGAATCGTACATACAATCTTGATGATATCTAGTTTTCCGCGTTTTAATTGCATACATTTCCCCATCACATGCTACATATATTTAATACGCAGTCGAATGACATAAGTGGGAGGTAATTTATATAAATATCTTATATAATAATTCTTAAGGATCAGTCACCGACCTAGAATTAGAAGCTCATAAAGCTCTGTATTTGCTATATTACAGTTTAAATCCATTGAAATAAATATTTTTTGGACACAAATATTAACAAAAAATATTTTTTTTAAAACAATTTCACTTACCGGCGATCTATTACGATTTTTGGATACTCAAACATCTATAGCTTAGACAAAACTCGCTCTTCCCGGCTTCGAGACCCAGACGTATTATACATTTTATAACCGAAATATCCAGATTTTCCACACTGGGACTAACATGTTTTGAAAACAAATATATAGTGAATTACATATTTTAGACCCGCTTGGAAGCGAACCTACGTCCCTTTATGAGTTACTTAAGTGACAGCATACAAACTAAATTTCTTTTATTTCTAAATTTTCAATTATTATATTTAATTATACTCATATAATAGTCGAATAGTATTGAATTTTTACCTACATATTGCTCGATTAACAGAATCCATTACAGAGCGTCGCTCTATTTAAAGATTATTTGTGTGTCATATACCGCATACGAACCACTTTCGCTTACACAATACTACCTTCGCTTTCAATGTATACTCGGAAAGTAAAAATATGTGGCCAAGCAACTGTAACCTTTAGATAGGGTTCTTTTAAGAGTTTGCTGTATAAGTTTTACGTTTCCAATATTTAAGTTAGTTTCCCTCCTACTCGATGTGTGTACTTTCACTATGTACCTTTAATTTTAGTTGTTATTCCCTACACCTACCCACTAAATAAATTATTTTATATCTCTTCTCTCCTGTACTTCAGGTTGCCTGGAAGAGATCGCTACTTAGCGATAAGGCCGCCTTTTATTTATAAGTTAGCATGTAAGATTTTTCCTCAATTATATGTATTTTCTGTGGTGTGTTTATAAATAATAAAGCAATAATAAATAAATATAAATAACGAAGATCCGTCATGATATTATACTATTTAAAAATAATGTCCGACTTTGAGCTTGTAGAGGTAACCTTACGCCAAGTTTGTCTCAGCCGCTAGATGTCGTAGGCAACCCAGGTAAAACCCGAAGCAAAATCTATCTATATGTAACAAATAATAACTCGTCTTTAAATGATCTAAAAAATGCCCGCGTCAGTATCTCTTTTTAGAGTAACTAGCAAGAACCGTTTCATCTATACTATACAATTTTGTCAAAATTCAGACATTCTTACCAATTATATATCATAGTCTTATCAACGATAAATAAATAAAAACATTTGATAGACCATTAAATAAGATTTCGTATCTTTTGGAGTACAGTTTATTAACAATTGTTAGCGATTACTAAACAGTTGAATATTGTTTTGTGTAATCCATAGCTAAAGTTAACAAGAGGTTGAGAGGGGTTAGGCGAATCTTGATGTAATGGTAGCGATTATAAACATATCTACCTGCCTTTGAATTTCAACTGTCTTTTTAGCTATCTTTTTAACATGGCTTAATGATTAACCGTGTCGCCCATAATTTCAGGTAACATTAGAGATAATGGGTTCGAGTATGGGCAAAGTAAATATTTTCTTATATAATTGTGATAGCTTATTTATTAAAGGCTATATATATATACGCCATCACCAACAGGAGCTCCTGTTGGTGCAGTGAAGAACATGAAACGAAAATGATGTATCATATTTAGGGCTTCCGTTATGTGCTCTGCGATAACGGTTCAAGAAACCAAAAGATATATATGAAAGAATTATCCCTCTTTGTATGATATAAAAATGTCCGTGACAGCCATGGATATATTTATCTTTTAAGATTAACTTACAAGAACGATTTTGAAATTTCTTCGAAACTAATGCGTTACGTAGTAGTTAACGAATTTAAATAACGCAGCCAATGAAAACTTACGTATTTTCACAATTTTCAGTGTTTACATAATAATTAAGACAAATAGCTATTATATTAATTATTGTAATTAGAATGTTAAATATAATGATTCTGTCAACTAAGTTAGTTCAAGTGTCAACCGAGTTATGGTATCTATTGGTAGTCTTTCTAGTTCATTTGTATTAAATAAAGGTAATGGAAGGAAATAAAGGTAAAGGTAATGGAAGGAATTATTTTAACAATACTGCTGAACTTTTCTTTTTTTTTTTACTTAATTTAATCAATGAATCAGAATACGTCACGGTTTTGCTCCGCGGTACGGTTGAGTAAGCGACGGCGATGCAAGACGAATTGAATTAATAATCAAACTGTAGTTATTGGAACAATGTTTCATTGTAACTGTTAGATAACTAAACAATTTTAAAGAACTTTTCATTTAACTAAATTTGATTTGACCTTATTTTATAATACGATTGTGGTACTTTGTTTATACATAACAACAATAAAAACATCCGAAACAACGGGCCGTAGTTAAAACAAATTTAAAATAAGTTTACTAATATACTTCGCGTTTTAAAGTGTTAAAAGTGATTTATTTAGATATTAAGTATATTATAGTACCGACGTTTTGAAAGCTTTACAGCACTCGTGGTCAATAGAGGATTTTGACTATTCATAACGCCAAATTTACAATGTAGAGTTATTACCAATAAAAAAACCAATGTTTTAGTTTAGACCTTGTAGTAACTATAACATAGTATAATTTGCTATCTGTAAGTGTCAATTATTTTTATAATATACTATAATATTAGCAACGATTATTAAAGGAATTAAAGATACAGTTTTATAGCTTAACTTAACATTGAAATTACAAATAGATCGTTATTTACACATAGCTATGTAACCTGTCGTGCCGATATGAGTAACTAGTTTTAATGGATGTGTTCTGTCAATTTCGAAGCACTTTCACGAGTAACCTCGACTTTTGACAGGATTAGGTGAAGGATATCACGCTAATTCGATTGAACTTTGCACGGGCACTGAACAAAATGCGGATCGAAGTGCCCTCCGATTGTGTTATTTCAATATATTTGACTAAAGTAATAATAATTATTAATACAATGATGCTACAGTTTAAGTTCTAACTTAAGTTAAAGTTCACGAATTTCCGTACAAACATTCATCCCCCTTTTCAACCCTTGTTTGGCAGAATATGTCATAGTAGTCTCAGGCTCTAGAATATCTTTGTACCAAATTTCATTTAAAACGGTTCAGTAGTTTCGGCGTGATAGCCGGACAGACAGACAGTCAGACAGAGTTACGTTCGCATTTATAATATTAGTAGTGATAAGTGCGATCGAAGAATCGCATCTTGTTTCAATGTTCTTAACAACATTTTTTTAATTTGTAGATGGCCATAACATGTGACTGTCCAATGTCACAGCCGGGCCCTACGCTAGCGGCTACTTGTGGTGGGGGCGCCTTTATGCTGTTTATGGGCCTCCTGGAAGTGTTTCTGAGGAGCCAGTGTGATCTAGAGGACCCGTGTGGAAGAACAAAGGTATAGTAAGAACGATGATTGAATGATGAACTTTGAAATCCAAATTTAATAAATAATAATTTTAATTTGTTGTATTTGTCAAGTTAAGTCTTTTTTTAATGAAAGAAGAGGGCCGATAAGCATGGTGTTCGCGTGATGGGAGGTGAACTACCCCAGCTATAAAACATCTTATCAAGATGCACTATCGACCTACTTTTTCTTGGATATTCGGAAATCCACAGACTGAAATCGAAACGCGTTTAAGCTCGACGGCTTTAACACCTGTCGGTGGCTCGTAACCCGAGACGGCTTTTCGATGTACCTACCACCCATTTCCTATCCAGATTACCAGACGAAGTCCAACATATTTCAGAAACATAATAAATTAAAAAATTTGAAACAGGTTGACCCGGTGGAGGCTCGAACCCAAGACCCGTTAATTCCTAGAAACACACATTGCTACACACCAACGAGGCCGTCAAAAATTGTCTGCTGTGGATTATTTTTGAGACTTAGACAATGATTATACTGCACCGACGTTAAACCGAAAATGTTTTCTCTTAAGAGGCTTTTGACTTGACTTATTTGTATTTTTATAGTCTGAAAATGTTCATCTACAGTCTACACAGTGGCCGAAATATGTGAACATCATTTTCACACAAATAATAGTTAAGTTCACTTATCGCTCGCCTAAGTTAATGGCGCATTTTTTATTTTCCTCCTCTCTCTAGCAGCCTCATATATGGAGATAACTTGACACCGACGGCCGTTAAATCTTAATAAATACGGACCTCAAGCGTGGTCTTACTGCACTCATTTTAAAAGCAAATGCCGAAATGCAATAGCTACTCAATGGCAGTTTCTCTCGGTCGTTACATAACGTTTGTAACAAGCCATAACTTATTGTGGTGTACCGCGATCGTGTCACGCAGACCGCAAGCTGCCCGCGGCCTATTGGTCTCCAACCTTCGCCTTTGATGTTGCCACCGTAATGACAGGTTACATCAAAATAATAGCCGGCAAACGCGCTACAATACAGCTTACTCGCTTAAAGTAAATAAAAAATGGAAAGAACACACTTGAAAGGAATCTTTATATTCATTTAAAAATATTAATAAACTTTATAAACTAATTTGAAAATGATTTTTAATTTTCAGCCGTTGTCTCCCCGTGACCACGTTAACTAATATATATCGCGTTTTAAACCGTAAAGTGTTTAATGTGTACTACTCGCGTAAACTACAGATAGTAATTAATAAACTCCTTAAATAATAAAACGTTTCAATATTTTTATAACTATTCTTGCTAACGTTACCAGTTTTATCAACAAACAAAAAAATCTCAAAATATTTGATGAATTAACATACTAACTAATATATCACGTTTTAAACCGCTAAGGTGTTTTATTTAAATGAATTAACATGCGTTTGACAATAATTCTATAGAACAAAGCTTAGTACGTGGTCTTAAATTTCTTTTCTTTAATGATTATGAGAAAAAACGGCAGCCAAGCATGTGCTCATTTGATGTAACGTGAAATGGTGGAAAGATGCGCCGTCGACCCATTTTGTCTTTGGTTATATCTACAGACTGCTTTTATCTGCCGACAGTGACTGGTGATTCGGACGGAATTTCGATATTCTTACCAGCTATTTAATATACAGGCTAAGTCCAACATGCAACAATGCGGCCAACCAACTTGTCAAAATCTTCAAATGAAATTACAAAAGTTCTGCCTTAGGGCCAATATTACTAGTCACACTTAAATAATATACCTTTTCTCGAAACGTGCATTCTAGACTGGTTTAAAGTAGATTACATTTATGCCATGTACTCACTATGGTTGCAAATAACTATGGAAGTAGAGATAGGTAAACACAGAAAAGCACTCACCCTTAAATGAAACAATGGGTGAAAACTTAGCAATTTGGTAAAACCGATACTTATCAAGTTAAACTCTAACTTCTTCTCACGCATATATTGTTTCCTTCCTGCAGATTAGATGTATATTTATTGAATAAATACAAACATCAGTCCTGGTATACACTACAAAACGTTACATTTACCAGTTAAAAAAATATCATGAACATACATGAATTTCATGAAAAGGTTTATTAAAAACATATAAAAGAAATGAAACTAATTCTATTGTAACTTATATTAGTAGGTATATTTTTTTCGGAACTATTGTAGTTAATATATCACACAATTATATAATTTCTTAGAGGTAATAAATAATGAAATATTCGTTGTATGTTGTTCTAGTATCGTCGTCATATGGATTCAGTATATGACTTCATCGTGGTGGGAGGCGGTTCCGCTGGTTCAGTGGTTGCTGCAAGACTTTCTGAAGTGCCCGAATGGAGAGTCCTACTTCTGGAGGCTGGTAATGTTGTGTATTTCTTGTTTCTTGCGGCGTGGTCGTGGTAGATAGGTAAAATATTTAAGACATTTTTTTTTTTTTCAAGAAAATCTATAAATATAAAAGTCACTATATATAAATAACATTATAATATGTTAATACTACTTTTACATTTACATACATATATCGTTATTGTACTTACTGCAACTCACATTTTACATATACTTGTAACATTTTCAGGTTTTGACGAGCCTACAGGCACCCAGGTGCCGTCAATGTTCCTCAATTTTATTGGTTCGAGTATCGATTGGGGATACCATACGGAACCAGAACCAGCAGCCTGCCTCGGGGAAAAGGATCGCAAGTGTTATTGGCCGAGAGGCAAGGTAAGTTCACTTATGATAGACGTTTAATGATTTATTAAATGTTAAAACAATGAATACTAGAAATCCACTATCTAGCCGTCAAGACTACCTACTGTCTAATCTGGACAGGTACATATACATATCTATGTAATAAAGCAAATGGTTAAATGGTGGAATTTTCCACTGATTACAATAAACATACAGTGTACTTCTATATATTGAAGATTTTATTATCGTTTATTTAATATATTATAGCAATTTGAAAATAAATAATTGTAATAAGGTACAAAATACAATTTATATCCTAATAACACTGTGGTTTCAAAATAACGCAACTAAAATACTTATTTAAATAAACCATTTTTAACGGTTCAAAACGAAAAATGTTTATTTAAATATGTTAAATATCTAAGTAAATCCGTTAAACCAGGTTTTAGGTGGAACATCAGTTATGAATGGCATGATGTACATTCGTGGATCGAAATACGATTACGACGAATGGGCAGCAGCTGGTAACGAAGGTTGGTCCTACGACGAAGTGCTCCCGTACTTCATAAAATCGGAAGACAACAAGCAGGTGGAGGAAATGGACAGTGGATATCACGGAACAGGCGGACCGCTTACTGTATCACAGTTCCCCTACCACCCACCGCTTAGTCATAGTTTGCTAAAGGCAGGAGAGGAACTAGGTATTTTTGCAGAAACAAAAAAATATGACCTTATTCCAATATACATCTATCACACGGTGTCTTCTTTACTTGTGGACTTTTCGTTTTTTATTGTTTTTCATCTTATTTTATGTATCTATTCGTAATATTATTTACATCTCCAAATAAATACTGCTTGTGTGTTGTGCAGCTTTTTATCATTTTCGGTCAAATTTTCAGGATATCAAGTGCGAGACTTGAATGGTGAAGTCCACACAGGGTTTTCCATAGCACAGACCACTAACCGTAATGGGTCCCGTTTGAGCGTGGCACGGGCGTTCCTGAGACCTGCCCGTAATCGCCCTAACCTGCACGTGATGCTGAATGCTACCGTGACCAAGGTTCTCATCAACCAAAAGACGCGGCAAGCATATGGAGTTGAAGTTCGAAATAGTTTCGGAGGAACAGAGGTCATCTTCGCTAACAACGAAATCGTACTAAGGTGAGAATAAGGTTTTGGTGGTATCTTTCCTTTTATCAAGTTTAACCTTTAGTAGAGGCCGCTAAAGGTTATAGTATTATATTCCAGTGGTGGAGCAGTAGCATCACCCCAAATCCTTCAACTGAGTGGTGTAGGTGATCCAGACGTTTTAGCTCGCGCCGGTGTGCCGCTTGTACACAAATTACCAGGTGTTGGAAGAAACCTACACAACCATGTGACACATTTTCTAAACTTCTACGTCAAGGACAATAACACAGCGCCTCTTAACTGGGCTACTGCTATGGAATACTTGCTCTTTAGAGACGGCCTCATGTCTGGTACAGGTATGCTCTTTTTCCAAGATGTATGTAGAATACATTTATTATTATTGCTTGCTAAAAAGCATCACACCTGTCTAGGTATATCTGAGGTAACAGCTTTCATAAACACGAAGTACGCAAACCCGGAAGAAGACAATCCTGACATCCAAATGTTCTTCGGCGGTTTTCTGGCAGACTGTGCTAAGACTGGTATGGTTGGAGAAATGAAAGGAGAAGGTTCAAGGAGCATACAGATGTTCCCTGCTGTGCTGCGCCCTAAGAGCAGAGGGAGGATTGAAATTGCCAGCCCTGACCCGTTTGAAAATCCTAAGATATATGTCAAGTCTGTATTAGTCTCTATGAGACCTAGAGCCACGTGTGTATAAATTATATTACAGAATAAAATCTAATCTTCTAATTCTCTTTTTTCAGCTATCTTACACATCCAGACGATGTGAAAACCTTAATCGAAGGTATTAAGTTTGCAATTAAACTATCTGAAACAAAAACTTTGAAGCGGTACGGTATGAAGTTCGACAAGACTCCAGTTAAAGGATGCGAGGGTTACCAGTTTGGTTGTGATGCATACTGGGAATGCGCAGTGCGAATGCAGACTGGGCCAGAAAACCATCAGGCTGGGTCTTGTCGTATGGGACCAAGAGGGGATCCTCTCGCTTGCGTCGATAATCTTTTGCAGGTATGACTGTGGCACGTCTTTAAAATATATTGATCACTATGTATGCAGTAAAATAGGTAGCTAAAACCGTGAGAATGTAGTGTGGCAGTATTTTCTAATACATTATATCGCATAGGTACAAGGAATCGATCGGCTCCGCGTTGCTGATGCCAGCGTGATGCCGCGAGCTCCGTCTGGAAACACAAACGCCCCGACAGTCATGATCGGGGAGCGCGCTGCTGATTTTATTAAGAGGAGATGGCTAGGGTCACAAAATGTACGTATTTATTTTGTTAAATTATAGTTTCCTTCGTTCTCTTATTAGACAAATCACCAAAATGTAAAAAAAATCCATCTTGTAAAATACATGTTTATAAAAAGAATAATACATAAAACATTAATAATTCAATATTAGAATACCCCACAAAGGTGTCGCACAGGAACCACAAACATCTACAGTTTTTGAAGCATCATTGCCGTCGCTCCGCCGCCACCGTTACATGTAACTGCTACACCCTTTTGCCCCTTTTGCATACCGTGACAAAGATGCCCCACCAACCTTGTGCCAGACATGCCTATCGGATGCCCCAAACTAACTGCACTACCATGAATATTAATTTTAGTGGGATCTATACCCAGGAGTCTTTGGTTTGCTATAGCCACTACACTAAATGGCTCATTAATCTCCCACATATCAATACTTTCTTTCGCTACACCAGTTTTCTCTAAAAGTCTGGTTATAGCTCTTTCAGGTGCGATAGGAAAATCGATAGGGTCTCGTTCAGCGTCAGCATAACCAATAACTTTAGCTAAAGACTTCACTTGATACTTCTCAGCCGCATTTTCCGTCATCATAATGACTGCTGCAGCTCCGTCATTTAAACCAGACGAGTTTCCAGCTGTTATTGTACCTTCCTTTTGAAACACTGCCGGTAAGTTTTTAAAAGTATCATAGTTTATCCTCGTGTATTCCTCGTCTGCTGTGACTAAAACTGGTGCACCATTCTTCTGGGGTACTGGTACAGGAATCAATTCCTTATTAAACACATTAGCTCGATATGCTGCTGCGGCTTTCTTGTAACTCTCAATGGCATGGTCATCTTGTTCTTGCCGGGATATGTTGAATATTTTAGCGATGTGTTCAGCACAGTCGCCCATGTGTATGTTGTTGTACACATCTGTCAGACAGTCGTGAAGGATAGCATCAACTAATTGGACTCCTCCGTACGTGGTTTCCCCACGTTTAAGGTGAAATGGGATATTTGACATGGACTCCATGCCACCTGCCAGGACTACGTCATGCGTTCCAGTTTGTAGAGCCTGTGTGGCAAGGAGAACGGCTTTAAGACCTGACGAGCAAACTTTGTTTACTGTCGTGCAGATGGTACTTGGTGGAAGACCACCAAAAATAGCCGCTTGTCTTGCTGGAGCCTGTCTTACATACGCGGAGCAAACGTTGCCTATGAAAACCTGGAAAATTTTAAAAACTCTAACTCTGAAATTAAATGACAATTCATTATCATTACATATCCAAGATTTTTCCTAAGGTTATCTTAAATTTGTATTGTATTTATTATATCTCTCAGAAATACAGCTAAAGATTTTTCTTTTCTTATACATGATGACATTTAAATTAAATACTTTAACGGTATAAAATGCGAAACATATTAGTTAGACTTATTTGGAAATTATTGGTCACAGGGAGATTCTCCGTGACCACGGCTGCTGCACAGCATCTGAAACATTGAATCGTGTTTCAAAGCCTTAATAACAAATAATCTTATTTTTCAAATAAGTGTAACAAATATGTTTCACGTTTTAAACCGTTAAAGTGTTTTTCTTTAATGTGTTTTACTCGCGTAAAATACAGACAGGATTAATGACATATCACTTTAGATTCCTATGTTATGTAATGTTATGAAAATATAATTGTATAGTTACACAAATCAGGGGAAATATACACATTACCTCTTTCACTTCATCTGGCGGTATACCAGCCCTTTCCACAGCAGCGGTGACAGCCATACCTCCAAGTTCAGTAGCGGTCAAGTTCATTAGACCACCCCTGAAGGTCCCAATCGGTGTTCGAACCGCTGACACTATCACAACTTCATTTAGCGCGACCTTCGACATTTCCACTTAGCGTTATTATAACAAAGAAACACGAAGTAACCACTTGACGCATTCAAACGTCTAACGCGCTATGAATGAATTAATGAAATAACAACACTATAAACGATAGTGCCTTGGGAATACATAAAACTCAGTCATGGCAAGCATATCAATGCGACGTTTATCGCAGATCTTTGTTTTTTTTATTTTTTTACCGTGCAAAATACACTAGAATCGACTAAGATTAAAATTGTTCGCCTTGATTTTAATAATACAGATATTATGTATAATGGAATTACGATAACTTTATCAATGCACGCTGCATTCAGCTCATAAGATACAATACGCTAATCCAATAATAATATCGATGACTAACGTTATACAATATACCTACAAACAATAACGACCTTGTTCTTGTGGTTTAATTTTCATATACCTACAATTGAATGTAGGTATACCTAGTAGCCGATGGATTAAATAAGATAAATTAAATAATTAATAATAATATATACATACTTATAAACAAATAAGCTTTTTTTGTTCGAAGATTACTTAGAAAGCACTTAATGAGCGAGTTTTTTTTAGTCTGCTAACATAGCTTAAATTTTTTACTATATGATTCAGTATATGAAGTCAATAATAATTATAACCCTTTAGCCTTTCCAGCTCAATTACTATGATAAAAATAAGCTATATAAATAACAACACATTAGAAAAATCGCGTTTCGGATTAAGACAATCTTGTGAAGATTGCTCTATTAATTGGATTAAAGTGAATACTTGGTTTAAACAAATTTTCATTGCAGGTTCCCTACCCGACAGACAACCAAGGTGGCATCACGAACGTGCTAACTGCAAGTGAGAGCCGCTACCCTGGCTGGCAACGATGGCTTTGATAACATCTTCCATATAGTATAGACCAACACAAATTAATTTCGTCGACGGACTTCTAAATCACAGGACTACGGTCCTGGTATTCAGAGACTATACTATAATTTCACGTTTCATTGTAACGTTCGTGCCGGTATATCAGTCTAGGCTTGTTCTATTTGAAATTGTACTAGAAGAATGGCTTGTCAATGACACGGCTTTACTTTTGTATAACGTTAGGAATGTTATTTTGGGATGTCACCATTTTGTAAGCATTTTCATCCATTTAGACTAGCCATCCAATAAGAAAAAAGATTTTCATCATTACATCAAAAATAACCTTTGTATCGGTAAGATAGCAGAAAATTACTTGTAAATAGATGATTTATTTAATATTATATTTTATATTTAACGGTGCAAAAATATTGTACAAATACTCAACGGTAGATTATTACTTAAGTTTATGTTTAAGAAATAAAGAACACCGGTGGTATTTTAAATCATTTTTATTTACATCAATTTGTATTAATAAAATGAATATCTCAAGAACTGAAGCTATTAACAATAACGATAGTACAAACCTGAGATAGACATTTGATTTAGTAGAAGTATATTTTGTTTCACAGTTCAATATGCTTCTGTAATTGCAAACTTTAGTAAGATTTGCTTAACTCAAAAGTGTAGATAAATGCTTGTTATTTAGTAGACGTTTACAACAGGAACCTAAGCGTTAAATGATGACAGTTGAAAATCTGTAATTTAAAAGAAACACATTTTTTAAAGACCATTTCATTATATTTGTCAAGCATTTCTTGTAAAGCTTGAATCAAATTTATTTCATACTTCATTTCATTGCTCCCACTTTTACGGAGTTAGAATTAAAAGAAAAATTGTCGCCTTCTGTATGACTGTCGAAATAAGTCGAAAATTACGTAATTTATTTAGTCGTAGTCGTAATAGAAATTTTACCCCTTAGTTGAGAATAGCTGTTAAATAAACAATTCTGAACTAATTCAAACAATAAACAAAAATCATTTCCATCATTTACTTATTCTTCGTGAAGTGATAATGTTAGTGAGATAGGCAATCTTAAGCATATAACCATACTAATCTTTTAAATCCACTACGCAAAGTTAGGATATGCGACTTACTATCTATAGATCGACGTTGTTCAAATTCGATCCAGAATGCGTCGGCAGGTCCTCAGTCAGCATCAAGGTCCCAATTGGCACAACAGCTTCGTCACGCTCTCTCAACTTAAGCATTTCGTGCTTGAGCTTATCCAGCACCGCCCTGTTAGGCTCGTTGCGACGCGCTTGGTCTTGCAGTAGAGTTATCTGTTGTTCTTCTAACTTTTTCTCTTTACAACTCTTGATTGAACGCGACCCGTACAGACGGAGGAGTGAACCCCACGACCGGATGTGGGGATGCAGGGACTGTAATCCCAAATCACGAATATCTTTAAACGGGTTTAAGTGAATATTTAGACAGCTTATATAAACTAAATATTTAAAAAGAGTAAAGAAGACTATTAAGACTGAAAAAATCGAACACATCGTGATCTTCTTCCAATATAACTATTGCATCCAAATAAATATATCTTTATTATTTATGTATTATAGATATAAAATCATTTCATATCAACGATATAACAAAAATAAAGTAGGAAAAAAAAGTATATGTGGGACGATCACATTTCTGTGTCCTGCTGGACTGAAACAATATATTGTTTCCCCGGGATTTAAACCCAGGACCTCTCACGCTAAACTCAATGCTAGTCAACACGTTCAACCATACCAAACCACACCAAATTACATGATTATTGAACAGTTGATAATAGTAAAATGCTTCCTGATTGCTACCTAAGTGCTTACCTGCAAAATGGCTTGAGAAGCGCGCTGTTTGGCCGCTTTCTTGTTCTGGCAAACGACAGACGCGCTGTGCTTGCCCACTTTCATAGTAAGTTGAATCTTTTGATATTCGATTTTTTTTACCTGAAAATTTTTAATAGGAAATTAATTACGCAATTTCCTTAGACTAATTTAACAAATACTGCCTTAAAACATAGTATAGTAAGGTATGTATGTCTTTCGGTTTTCTTAATAGAAATGAAAAGGACGAACAAAATGTCTCAATTTAGATATTAACTGTATTTTATCATTTATTTTTGAAATAACAAAAACTTAAAAATCGAAAATAAATTGAAAAAAATTTTGACTCGGGCAGGACTTGAACCGGCAACGTCAGCGTTCCGTGCTGTTGCTCTATATTAAAGTTTTCATAACAAAAACTTGTTGACTTTTAATTTTTGAAACATGTGTTTTTATTAAATCTGTAATTATATAACTGGTTTCTATATTACATATAATCATATTATATGTTATTACTTATTATTTTCTATTGGGCACACTGATAGAGGAGCCGGGTAATTAGACCACACCATTTCCTAAAATTTACGCAACAACCATAGATAAGAAATACTTGCAATACTAACCGTGACATTGATGTGGCGATCGTTCGCGCCGAAATTTCGCAACAAACAGGTGCGCAGGATTGCGTGCGGCGACGGTTCGCATGTCGCCGCACAGAACTCGGCGATTCGCGGGTCTTCTATGCCAACGTAGTCGAAGAACTAGAGGCAAATAAATAACTACAGTATTTTTAGATTGAAAAAAAAAACGTGCTGCTCTAACTAATTGAGATGCTGACACAGCACAACACAGTCAGCGAAATTATAAATGTTGGCAAGTCATAGTTATTTTTTGCTCTTCTCGAAACTACATAAAAGTACCTTTATTTAATTATAATTTAATACCAGGTAACACAACAGTTTTAATAAATTCTAGATGCGGTGTTATTCTAAGGTACAGTATACTGTATACAATTTGTATTAAATTGTGTAAAAATCTTTTACCGTCTTATTTATTCTCGGATAAGATATTGATATATACTTACTGAGAAATCGGGCTCGTTAGAGTTAGGAGCGGCTAATTCTTCATTCATTTCGGGTATGAGGATCTGTATCGAGGCCCGGGCAGCGGCTGCTTTCGCCTGCCGTTTACTGCTTCCAAAACCTACTCCGTATTGCATTTCACCTATGTATACTGTAGCCTGGTAAGGTGTTGCCGCGTTTTCTATAATAGAGAAAGACATAAGAATATTTTTCGGCGCTCTTAAAACTAGGAAATGATTTATGGAATCAAATAAGATTAAGGTAAAACTTAGTAGCGGTCTCACTTTCCTACATACTATGTACAACATAATATGTATATACTAGTAGTAAATGTAATTATTTTTAAGTGTATTGACGTTCACAAGTTCATAATGAATTCATATTTGATGTTCTGAAAATAGCTAACATTATAAATTATATATCAGTTCAGACACGGGCAGGACTTCAACCGTCACTCACAACGATAGCTCTAAACCATTGAACTATCGTATCGTACACTTAATCGTAATTTCTTTTCGATTTTGACTCTATATAAAGCCATCATGGACAATACATATATCAAAATACTAACGATTTACCTAATACAAATTTAAAAGGTATTTGTCAAAGGAAAATTGAAAGAATTGGGTTGAAGATACAGATTATAATATATTTACCAAGCTGTGTAAACTCGTAAACGGGTTGCTTGTGCAACGCGCGGTAAACGTACTCGTGGAAAACTGACAGGTAGCAACGACCATTCATGTTCATAACCCAGTCACGTTTGCCCTTACCACCTGGAATCCATATAAATATGACCATGACTGCAAAGCATCCAAACCTTCGGGTAATTAAAAAAAAAAAACTAGGTAAAGCTAAGATCTTAGCCCATTATCATATATTTTTATTTGTCAGGTGTAGTAAAACGTCGCTTTTACTTTATAAGAAAATCTACAATGAACATATAGGTTCAAATATTAGAGTTTATTAAACCAGGATGTACAAATTTGTCTATTGATACGGTGGTACCAAATCACTGTATTATTATTTAATTAACTCACCATTTTCTTGTCCGTTATTAGGGATTGTGATAAGCTTGGTTCCTTCGGGCAATGTTGGGTACTGTAAAGCCTTCCTAGCTTTAGTATACTTTCGACGGTCAGCCCAACTCCTGTAAAAAATTGTGTTTATGATTTGTAACTGTTTGTAATATAATTTTATTTCATTTTAATAATTTTCTAAAATAACTTATAAAAATCTGGTCATGCTAACAAAACAAAGTCATATTTAATTCTTTAAGCTAGAGTGTGACAAAAAATTGTGATCCTAAAACAAACATAGATAAAAAACATCTCTTACTTGAAATGCATAATTTCCACAGTTTTGAACTGAAAGAGCTTTTTGCAGTAATCATTTATTTGTTCGGCTGTGAGATGCTGTGTTTTCCAGCTTGTATTTACATTTTCAACTCGGGGCGGTGGCACGGCCTTTCCTCCAGGCAAAATAAAAGGCCGAATGTTTTTCATTTCATCAGTATTCTCTGTTTCTGTTCCTCCCTTTCTGTCTTCATTTGTTTCAGCTTCATTAGGCTTACCTGACTGTTCAATGCACTCTTTGATATCAGTTAAACTGTTAACTTTATCACATACAGCAGCAATACTAGTAGTTCCTTCATTGCCTTTTTTGGTGATATCTTCATTAAAATTTTCAAGTGTTTCTTGTTTAGAATTATCAGCATTTTCAATAACATTTTTAGGTTGTGCCTCTGTGTCACTTGACATTTCTTTAAAAGGGCATACAGCTATACCTGTTTTATCTTTATCTTTTGAATTCATCGCTTCTGTGATTATTTGATCAACTGTTTTGTTTATTGACTTTGCAGTTTGGTTTTTTACAAGATTAGCAATCGAAGTTTCGCCTTGAGTTTGAGCATTAACAATGTCAATTTGTTCTTGTATTTTTTTATCTATTTTCTTTTGTTTTTCTTCCTCTTCCAGACCTCGACGATATGCTAAACATGGAATCGCACTTATGGGGATGTCGTGGCGCTGTAAAAAATGTTTTTTTAACAATTGACATCCTCCATTAAAATTGATTTTCTAGAAAATATTTTTACCTGGATATTGCTTTTTCCAAGACAATAAGGTTTTGCAAGTGTGACTACACGGGTAGGCCTATGCATATAAACCGGAATTCCACTCATATGACGGGCACAAATCCAATCCAATGGCAGAACTTCAAAGGGATTCACACCCTTTTCTTAAAATATTAATATAATTTTGGAAATTAGATAAACAGTAGCTTGAGTACCAATAAAATTACAATAATAGAATAAATAAATTGTAATAGTCATACCTTCCATTATTGTTTTAGACCTCAAGACATAAGGTTTCTCTTTAGGTTTTGGAGTTCCTTTGAAATCCTCCGGTAGATCTTCATCCAGCATCTTCTCAATCTCAACTTCAGGTATTTCTTTAATATATCACACAATTTATATAAACATTATTAGGAAATTACAAGTGATATAGAGTTAAGAAATTATATTACTTAAAGCTAAAATATTGACTAATATATTTTTATAGACTCTACATAAGCTTTAATTATTATATATTTATTCTTGTGTTATAATGATTATTCATGCATGATCTGGAAAAAATATGTTAATTTAAAACAAAGAATATAATAATAAATTAAAAAGTCAAAGAAATTGTATATTTAATTTGTTAAGGAGAGCCAAAATATAATGAAGAAATATGTACCCTGCGAACAATCAGATTCTGCATCATCACTATCTCCTTCCTCATCGTCAGACTTGACTTCATCAAGGATCTTAAATTCCTTTAGTTTCTGGAGCTCTTCAGGAGTGACATAGTTGTTATACTTATCGTCAACAACAAACTCATTAGTAGTAGTATTGAGATCTTCTGTGAAATCTTGGTTATCTTCGGCAAAAGCATTGTTATCCGGTCCCGGTCTAGGCTTTTTTGCTGGCGGTAACTCCTCAGTATCACTCATTTTCACCTATAATTTTTATACAAATTTGTAATATGATGATGTCAATAGATATGTTAGGTTAGCATTATTGAAGAAATAACTAGAGGATAAATAACCTTTTGCAATACACTTTAGCTAACAAACTTAATACTGAGTAAAACCTAGGTTGTACTACATCTTTAGATATATTATCTATGAAGCGCTTACTAATAAAAGTCCTTATAAATAGAAAACAAAACACAAATCTCTAATGCTATAAAACTATTGTTATTCTATAGTACCCTTGTCTGTGTCTAAATTTCAACTTTATTTATTTCATGCCTAGATTAGATCTTACAACTAATTACTTGCAATATAACTAGACAGAGATGTTAACAAAAAAATTGGAGCTCAAACTTTAAAATTGCTGCGATACACATTTTTTGAAGTACATAATACAATCTTTCAGTTAAAGAACAATTTAGAAGTTTGTTGCTGTTTTTAGGTAAATTAGGGATGTTGAAGACAATTATTGGATGCATTTACAAAGTGCGATGAATCTAAAAATCCAATGAATATATAATACAATTGGATTTCTACCATCGTCAAATGTAAATACTTTAAAAACATCTAAAGACCCGTGGCAGGTTATATTGAAGAGTGATTACAGATTTTCAAGAGGCTTGCTCTAAAAGAAAACAGAGTAAGGCCTTTTGTAAAACTGCTTATAAGAGCTGAAGGTCGCCAGGCAGCAACCTGAAATAAATGTACCTATCCACAACGTAATAGCTAGTCCTTACCACGAAAACAATTTAGGTAAATGAAGTACACAGATGTATGGTTAGTAGACTTCGGAACCTTTAAAACTAATATCCAAATTAGCAGTTCATGTATTATCCAGTCTTTAGGCCACCCTACTTAATTAAGTGGTTCATATTTAACTATAAAATGGTACATAATATACTTAAATTCATGATAAAATGTTGGAATTATTGATTTAACAAAATTGCAGTAGCTACTAGGAATGTGAAAAAACAATCGATTAATGCAAAAATCGTAAGTTGTAGTAATCGATTATCATTTGATCATGAATTATTGTTTTTCATTTGTAAATTGTAAACTCCCGATATTTGCTTTTTTTACTAGGAACGCAATGTAATAATACCTTTTTAAGATACAAGAAGGCAAGCAAGTGTGCTCTGTCAAGACAATATGCACTGTCCTGTGTCCACGTATTTTTGATTTATGATATTTGATCACGACCCGGACGAACTTACTAATTTATAAATGGCAATTTTCGAACACATAAATAGTGAAAGTGTTGGGTACAAGTTAACAGAACATTAGACCTTGATCTCTGGCTTACTGTGTAGAAAGGACTTTATAACAAAATTTCGACATACCTATTAACTATATAATAAACAAATTTTTAGGTGTAGTGACTAAATTATGAAATATTTTAAATTAATGAACAACAAAATATTTACAAAACTAGTATGGATATAATGCAAAGCGAATCAATAACCCATGTCCATTGTTATTACCCACGTGTTGCTTTTATAAAGTAACGAAGCATTAATATTAATGTGGAACCTTTATAATTTGACATAACAGTCAAATTTATAATGGGTCCCAAATATTATTGTTTCCATCATATTTTGTAGATAAATATTATATATGTATTTCTATTTTTTTCAGATGAACAATCGTTTTATTCTCATCGACAAAAATCGAAAACTTTTATGCACAATGGCACGTCCCTATGATGGCCTAGTTATGTACAAACAGTTTCATATTTTAAAGATAGTTAATACCACAGAGTAAAAAAAACAGATTAGAGTCATCGTCGCAGGCTAAGAAAAGATAAAGCATTATAGATTAAAAATATCTTTCTATTATCTTTAGTTTTCTCCGTAGTTGCTGACTATTTAGAGATTTTTGTTGAGTATTTTTTGTCAATTTTAAATTTATAGAAAATACCTTCTTCAAAACAAAATTTGGTATAGAGTAAACATTTTATATATATTCCAAAATAAAGAAAGTACAACAAACAATTGGATATTATTTTATACAAAACATATTGGTCGTAAATAAAAATGCAAAAGTTTTACAATTTTATCTTTAATAAGTAATTTGTTTTTTGTATGGTCTAATATCTATTACAATAATTTTTATTATTATTAACTAATCATAAGTTTCTGATACTCTCTTGTAATTAGATAACATCACACAATCACAAAAAATTGAGTTCTTTTTTAATAGACTTGCTGTATCATCTGTGGAAAGTACTAAGACCAATTACTTATCATAAATTAATTATGAGATAATGGATGACTAGATGTGCGAATGCGTATCTTTTTTAAGAGGTTTCTTAATACCTGCAAATTAAATAGATATTTTTTTTAATGCCAATGTACCTAATGTACACAAAAATAGATGTTAGCAAGATTTAATAATAATACTAATATGTTTATTAAGCAAGTTATTATCTTTGAAGTAATAAACGTAAATTAAAAAAAAACTATGAGAGTCTTCATTCGCACAAAATAATATTTGTGTGTATAGACTGTAGATTATAAGACAATGCACATACTATTTGTACAAGCCATCTACATATATATAATCTATCATATTCACACCTATTTTTCCTATTATAATAATATATTTTTAAATATTTGTCTATTATTTACACAGTAACACTAACAGGAAACAAGTGATAAAACCTACCTACTTAGTTTTTTCAAATCATATAATTTTATAAAATTACAATAATTAAGTGTTTTATGTTTCATTATTGAGTAATATCTCACATATCTATAATTATCACCATATTACTAATTACTTTTTATTGGCACAGGAGTTTGGTTCTTTCTATGATACAAAATAGGATAAATATTAAATATTTTGATGACAAAAAAATATGCATTTATATATAAATATATATTTACTTATATATTTTTCTTATATTAAATTGGGTGTACTTGTGACATGTATTTAACAATATTTAATTGTTCAAAGGAAAGCTTCTTGGTATAGATTTTAAGATACTATTGAGAATGTTGTTTTAGGTATACATATACATTATATTCTTATGCACAATAATTTTTTGAAACACAAGTTACATGCATGATACATAATAAACTTTAACATCTTTATTTTTACACCAATTACTACATGTCTTATAAAGTCTAATGAATATATTTACATAGCTAACCGATAGCTAACATTAATATTATGAAATAAAAACATTATCCCTTTAAAACCATTGCATTTGTGCATTTAAAACCTTTTGTGTTTAGAACCGAAGGGTTTTAATCAACCCTATTAATATCGGATGTACTATTCTAAAAATAAATTGTTGATTAGAACAGAATTTCAGTGTCTGTATTCTCTCGTCCGTTTCCGCGTTATTCACCTAACTTCTATAATTAATTTAGGAAAGTTACTCCCACTTTACTCTTGCTATACAATCCTTACTTTATCCACTTTAACGTAATATTGTCGCATAACACTAAGTTTAAAAGAGACTCCAAATCCGTGTGTTATTATAGTCTCATTCAAATTCTATACTCTAGATCTTCTATTCGTAAAATTTCATCAAAATATCTGTGGAATGCTCAAAGGCTTGTATCGAAAAAATGATAGTTAAATACATATAGTACCCATTTGGTACTCATAGATGGATACTCGAAGATATGGCAGTAGAATGGCTTCGACAGCCAGCGAAGAGGATCATAGTCGTTTGCGATGTGGGTCTGTGCTGCAGCTGCGGAGAGAACCAAAACGACGCGGGGGCTGCGGTATACGTTCCCGGTCCAAACTAGCAGCACGTAAGATCACTCCGCGAGATTCACCATGAGATAATTCTGAACGGGGCTGAAATTGATAACGATATACACTTTAATGAGACGTCCGAGTGTTATAACTTATATTATCTAATAGAAATTACGTATAAAGGATACAGCACTTTCTATTTTTTATTATTCACACTGTCTATTAGACTTTTGCAAATAGTCTATTTAGGAATGTCTGTAAAACATTAAGAAAATGTCTGTAAAACAAAATTAAGACGTGAAAGGTATACAATTTCTGGACTAGGAATCTATTTAGATTTTAGTGGTTATAGAGTAAGTGCTCAAAAAGTAAGACATAGCAAAATGAAAGATCTCACCTGATCTAACGAACCAAGTCGCTGCTGTAACCGTGCGGGTGGTTCGGTAAAAGATGTCTCCACGGATCTGGCTGACTCACTAAGTGATTGCGACAATAGTTGAGTAGTGGAAGAAGACTTCGAGTCGTCCATATTGGAGAATTCATCTGGACTATCCTCTCTCTGCGGTGTGTCGGATTCCTTTGAATTAATAGATTGATTAAGTCTCTTGAACAGCATACCAACAAGGTATTGAAGTAAATTTACGATACGATGCATTTATTGGTATTAAAATTAATTTGTACTATTTTTATTCGTGAAAGAATTATGTTAACGTTTTGGGTCACTGTGCTCTAGTAGATTAACATTTTTAGACTATGAAAATATAAATATAAATTACATCAGTAAAATGAAAAATACGAACTTCTTCCAAGTCTCTGAGGGTAGTAGGATAGTGGTGTTTTCTTACATCACTTCGTTCCTCTCGTTCACGCTTCTCCAATTCATCAGCTAGCATCATTACTTCCCAGTCACCTCCGCTACCTGAAAACTCTGCAAAATATATACAATTTTAGGAACTAGGTCTTCAGGAACTACTTGAGGGGGAATATTTCATATTAGTCAACGTAGTCTATGAAATTTACGTTGAGTAAATTGTACGACGTAAAGTACGACTACATGTCAGGTTGCATTGATTGACAAAGGCTACTTAAACTCGCAACAGCAATCAGATCCCTCGACTTTTTCAATAATGCTGAACAAAGTATTTAATCTACGCGGACGAAGTTGTGTGCACAAATTAGTTACTTCATAAAAACGTTCTGGATAATGAGATATGATAAACGACTCAATAATATTAATATTATTATATGATGTACCGGAACCTCCGCTTTATAAAAGTTCTGCCACTTCACGTTTCAGTCCAACTTTACTTTACCTCGAATTGGTGACGTACTACTATGTCCTATTGAAAGACGATGTCGCCGTCCTTCTAAAAACTCTTCAAACACCGGTGTATGAGGAATAGACTCCGAATCGCTTGAAGATGTTGATGAACTAAAAAAGGATATGAAAAGTTATTCAAAAGAAAACTTTGTTCTGAGGCTCATTAAATTATTTATATTGTAATGGTCGTATTTTTAGAATGTTCTTATTGCATTTCTACAAAAATAAGGAGAAATAACAATTTGTAATAAATAACCAGTTATCCGCAAATTATCTTCTATTATAACTAAATATTAATTTGGTTCAGTGGATATATCTTAAGTATAATGAACATAGAAGAAATACTCATTACTGTTAAAAGTGGTTTTCTTTCTACATTAATAGAAAGAATATAGGAAATAGAAAAATTGATACCAGAATGGAGCTCAAATATATTTTAATCTTACGTATTTGTCCAGCTGCAGTCACTGCCCATGTCTAGGACTACTTCATTGCAGTTGTTATTGGGTTTACTGTTCTGTCCACCGCGATAACCAAAGAATGATCCCAGGCTAAACTTCCGCTCTTCTCGGCTTTGCTCTGAAAATGTAACGTATGCAGATAAATAACAATAATTCAAATTGTTTCATGAATAATTTTTATATTCTCCTTTAAGCTTACTTTTGGTTCTTCCAGTATGATGCATGCCAGTGTCTACTGACAGTGTTTTCTTAACTTTTGACCTAGTGCTATCGAGATGTGACCCAAAGAAGTGAAAGGGCATCCCTCTTCTATTCGACCTTAAACTAGATTGTTCTGGACTGAGTAAGGAGCGGTTTTCAGATGTTATCTGTGGCGACATAGATCTAAAATGAACATTTTAAAATGTAAGATGTCAATTAAATATGAAGTAACCTAAAACACAATATTTTATTTAGCCAACCTAGTTAGATCTTGTAATTCTACAGTTTCCTGGTCACTGTGCTCCTGATCCCAAGATTTTCTTTGCCTTAGTTTAGCAGCACGTTTTCTCGAATACGTTCCAGCTTTTCCGTCCAAGTTTAGGTCTAGCCTTTTCGATTTATTCACGCTCCACTTCTCTCTTTTTGAAGACATCTTTGTTGTTCGACTGGATATAGATTCAGCTAAACTTTGCAGTTCAGAATAGGATAGCTTTGATAATTCTATGCCACCCGTAAGTTCTGTGAGCTTTTCTTCAGTCAAGTCATCGCCTGATACAACCTTGCTCGAGGAGGCTGTTGATTTCATGCACAATTGTTTATTTTTGTCTTCATCACCTGGAGATGTTGCAAATACGGTATCGAGTGAATCTCCTCTCTGAAATTAAAAAATAATAATCGTGACAAACATGTATATGTAAGATTCAGGTATGACCATTATAAGTTAAACATCATATTATATAAGATCATTAATAATATACTGTCTATAGTTTACGCGAGTAGATTTAAATAAAACACTTTAACGGTTTAAAACGCGATATATTAGTTAAACTTATTTGAAAAATATTTTTAACTAATATATGGCGTTTTAAACCGTTAAAGTGTTTTATTTAAATCATTAATAATGACAAAGTAATGAATCACTTTATTAGGCTTGGTGACATGTCACTAGAGACACACAATATAGACGACTCCGTACCAAAATGCCTCCCGATGCAACGTATCGCTGCCCCTTTCTATTCCGAACTACCCACCGTCATATACATGAATAGTTAACCATACAGAAGACATTTGAGCTTCTGTAGACAACATCGGTCATAAAAGTATAAATAATTATTACGGTTTCCCATTTTAATTGCTTAGCGTGTTATAACTAATTTTTTTTTAAGATGATTTTTGGTACAATATTTACTTACCATAAACCCTTCATGATCACTGGATCCGTCAGTTTCGGAACTTTCATTTTTCTCTTTTATAAAGTTTCCGTTTTCCTCAGTGATGCGTTGAATGTTTTCTTTTCTTGAAGATGATGTTTTAGGTAAACCTAATCTTTCTAATTCTTGTATTCTATTCTGAAGCTGACTTATTATTTCATCCCGCTTTCGCACCTCATTTTCTAAACTGGTAAATCTAAAATATAATCAAAAAAATTTAATATTTTACACATTTTCTTGCACATGATGTCACTAAATAAATAATTTGAAAATCGAAAATAAGTTTAAAAAATTTCGACTCGGGCAGAGCCGGCGTCGTCTACCATCTAAAATAATATGTGATACGTTTGCACTAGTTAAATTACTTTTACGAACCTGTCCTGAAATTTTCCTTGAACTTCATATAAATGTCCTTCTATTACTTGTTTGATGCCTAATAAAACTTCTCCAAAATATTCCTGTTCTTCCAAAGATGCTGTAAAAGTGTTAAAATATTAGCAAATATATTGAGAAGTAATAAAATAAAACAGGCATGCATATGCACCTCGTAGAAGTTTCCGTTGATTTGCCACGGCTGATATTATACTTAGTTTTGGTTTTTCAGAAGGCACTTTGATATCTTCTGGTCTTAATGATTTAAACTTCAAATTTTGCTGGAGTTCATATTCAGTTTTAATATTGATACCATAATCCTGATGAGGTAAAATTGTTTCATTGTTTGGTTTAACTATTTGATTTTGGGGACATATTTGTTCCGTATCTGGCTCAGTAGAAGTTGGTGGAGATATATGCGGCTGTTTTTGCGGTTCAGGAAGCTCGAATACATCATCTACTATGTCAGAAAGGGCACTTCCCGGAGGGGACGGTAACGTGTGACGATGAAAAGTAACACTTTTGGCAAATTTAGAATGTCTGGCAGCATAGCCTTCTAAAGTTGGCGCTCGTATTAATTTTCTTAACTCTTTACTTCTCTGCGGACTTTCCGCGGGTGTTACATCTTCTGACAATTTTTTTAAAATTGACTTTAAAGTCCGCCTTTCCAAAGTTTCATTAGACTCATGGCTTCCTAAAGACTCTGACGATTTCCTCTTGTATTTTCTTTTATCCATCGTACTGCCTTCTGAATGACTTCGTGTCAGAGTGTCAGAGAGTAAATCCTCGGATGAACTTGCACAATCTAAACTAGAACTTCTTATTTTAACGACTCTCTCTAATTCAGCTAATTTTTGTCTTTCATTTAAAATTTTTAATTTCTTAACAAATGGCAGACCACCATATTCTGGAGATAGGTCGTCAATTGATTTATATTTTTTCGCTTTAGGTAATAGCATTGTTCCAGAGGTCACTATTTTTTGGGCATTGAATGGTTTTAAATCTTTTTTAGGAGATGAGGTTAATAAGTCTAAAGATTTCTCTTCTAAAGAGCTTGTAATAGTCAATTTGGGCTTATCACTCCTAGAACTACAGTTATCACTTTCCACATTGTTATTGTCTATCTTGACTAGTTCAGCCGTATTAACTACAGGACTAATAACACTGATATTTGTTTCTACTATTTTACTACTTGTAACGCTTTGTTTAGTCGCATCACTATCACTTTTATCGATACTACTTTTACTAAGACTTTTAGTATCACCTAAAATTGCTGCCTTTTTTAATTTGCTCCAAGGTTTTTTAGTTTTACTATCATCTTGACTTTCTTTTCCCTGGGCTGACGATACCTCTAAAGATGTTTTATCTAAGGATGAAGGCTTACTTTTATCATGCTCCAGATCCTTCGCAGAACCATTGTGTAACATTCTTAATTTATCCCGAAAAGTAGAGGTCACCACTTTAGCTGGCGACTTAATTTTACTTACAACCGAATGTGGAATTGAAATTAAATTACTTTCTGTTTTTGGAGTAGGTTCTACGACTGCAGCTGGCTTTTCTACGACATCCTTACTAAGTGGCTGACACACAGCTGTGCCATCACTCTGTACTTGTAATATTCTATCTCTAAAACTAACTTTAGGCTTGGATGCGCCATCACTAGATCCCGAAGAATTTTTTCTCGAAGTTCGCGCTGTAGGGCTTTGTAGTTTGCCAGGCGAACTTGACTCTGATCCTTTTCTTAAAGGACTTAAGCTTTTAATAGTAGGACTTAATGGACTTTTTAACGAGTTGGGACTAATTGTATCTGAACTTGAAGGTTGATTGCTAATAGTAGGTGTTAATTGATTCTTTTCTCTTTCCTCTTTGGCTTTAAGGAGAAGTAGTCTTTGTATAAGTGGAAGACCTGCGCCTATTACTTCCGGTTGCCTATCAGGCTGAGCTGAACTAGTTGAAGGTGTTGGTTGTGGCGGCGGAGGAGACAATACCGATGTCAAGTTCCACTGCTTTGCCACTTTTTCTTCACGATCCTGTAGTTTTAAAATTAGTTTAGAAAACAAATTTCAGTAATAAATTCTTTTAAAATAACATTTTTCTAATATTTATACGTGTACCTGTTTTTCTTTTAAAAGTTTTAATCGCGAGAGTAACGGAAGTCCCGCTCCTAAAGGAGATATCGTCTTTTCGACTTCTTTAGTAGGCTCTGCAGCGTGATCCTGAAAGATATAAAAAGGAATATTTTAATTTTTCAAATTTAATACAATTGAGTGTAAATTATGATTTTGTGGTTTTCGTACCTCGTGATGATGTTGTGAATCATCACTTTCTACTCGTGGCATTCGTCGTAGTACCTTGGGATCAGACATAGCACGAAGTTCCATGGACTCCCCTGAACGCCTACCGCCACGAGATCTGCTACGAATGGCATTGCGAATACCCTGAGAACAAACATTATGCAACATTTAATACGATATAAATTACATTTGAAAATATATAGAAAACTTATAATCGTTATAATTAGCGCCAAAGAAACGCGTAGTTCTTAGGTATTATGTTAAATTCCCTTACATAATAAAATATTTAAAAAAAACAGTAAACTGTGAATGGAAAACAGATTAAAAGAAAAAGCCCACCTTTACGTCAGTGCGAAGCTTATGCACTATCCTCTTTGACGTGCTGTCGTCGCCTCCGGTTTTGTCAGGGCTTATTTCGCCTGAAAAGTTTCGATTGTACGAAGTGACACTTCTGAATATTGAAAAATATTCAAAATATAAACAGCACAATTTCTCAATGATGTTTCGTGAGTAAATTATTTAAAGATTTTTTCATTTGAAATATAAAATTAATACCGAAACTCACTTTTGGGTTTCTGTCGGGACATGCTTTTAGCTTCCTGTAACCGCTTTCTTCCCAACGTTTGCAGAATGTCTTGCGCCTCTGGATAGTCTTTCATAGCAGCAAGAACGTCCTCACGTGAAAGAGAGAAAAGCTCAGAGTAGCCAACTGAACGTACGTCAGCTGTTCGTCTGTAATTTAAAGATGTTTGTTACCATGTACCATGTTTTAAAATCAAAATTATATTTTTGATTTTAAAACATGGTAGATGACGTCTCAAAAATTTGGAATAAATCTGCATTTCAATATCAGTCTGTGGATTTCCACTGTAATATAGGGCTGGGCTACCTCACCTTTCATCAAAAGAAACCTATGTTCGTTTGTCCTTACACTGACTTGAAAAACAAAAATAGCAGTTGCAGTAACTACATCTTTGTCAATCGTATTTTATATAATAGATATTTTATATAATAGATTTTTTTATACAGAGATATAACTCACTTATTTAACCCATCCAGGTTCAGTATACCGATTTCTCCGAAGAAATCACCTGCTTTCATAGTTGTGAGCACTCGACCCGTTTCCGAGATAACCTCCAGAATACCATCAGCTATTATAAACATCTCACGCGCGACTTCGCCTATTAAATTAGTAGAATATTAGTCTTGCATATTAATGCCAATTTTATCTCTATCCATTAAATTATTACCTTTTCTGCATATTGAATCTCCTGGCGTAAATATATATGCCTTCATTTTTAATACTAAATCATGCAGGAATTCTGGCTGGCACTCTTGAAATATTGTCACCTAAGATAAAATCGAGACATTTGCTACATTAACAGTTTACCTTAATACAGATATGACAAAGACTGAAGTAATAATTGTTAAATGTTTGCCTTGACATTTCTATGTGGAATACCCCGGAATATACATTGTGAATCTTTTATTTTCAGAACAAATAAATGACAATATCTAAATAATTATTGTAAAGCCGAAAAGATGGTTTAATTGGACGCATAATCTTATTAAGTACGGGATTGAATTAAAAAAAAATATTTTTGTGTTGGTTAGAACATTTATCGACGAAGACAACATCACGCTGCAACCAATAGAAATAAAGAAACAGGACAAAGTTTGAAAATAAACCTAAAATAAAAAAACCAAGATACCCAAAAATATGTATGAAAGAATGATTCCTCTTTAAAAAATGTCCAATAAATTATTGAATTTGATTTGACGGCACTTCTACGAAGAGCGCCAACCTTCTTTCACTTTTCTTACCTTCTTAAGTACACTGAGGTTGACGTGAAGTGCGAGTTCAGTCTTTAGCTTATCCGGGAGCAGGCCCAGAGCTGTGTTTATATCCCCTCCTCCCTGGATACGGCCGCGTGACCAGGAGTAATCGTACCAACGCAAAACTCGTCGTTTCATACCACCAGGTACCTACAATTATACAATGGGAAAGTGATGTTATATCAGTATTTTTATCGTGCAACAAAGATATATTGTTGAAAAAAATAGATCACAACTTGTAAGTTTTACGTAAAAATACTACGTCAGTCATAGTTATTTTAATGCAATCTTAATAAAAAAGTATAAATAGCAAGGCGAGTGTTTAATTATTGAAATAGGAGAAAGAAAGATAACATATTATGTATTCTCTTCATCCAACTGAACTGTAATTAAAACATCTTAAACATAATATCAGCTTAATAAATTCCTTTTAACCTAGGTTACCTATACCTAACTATAAATGTCAACGTTGGAATTGGCAAAAACAAATGTAAACGAAATTTGTATTTCGCCTATAGAGACTGTATTTTGTTTTATGCATTAATTATGAACGATAAACTATTTTTTAAGTAACTATTACCGACGTCAACAATTTTAATGAGAAAGTATTTCAGAATATCACAATTACATATAAAGCTTACCTTATGGTGTCTCATATAAGTTTTTGCCCCATCAAGGAGTCTTTCAAATTCCAGCCTGTTGGCATTCCTGTTGGTGATCACATTGCCAACTTGGCCGACTATAGTTGCGAAAATGAATACGCCGATTAAGTAGCTCACTATTGTAAATACGTATCTGTAATATAAAGTTAAATTAACAAAATACATGGTTGAAATGCATACAACGACAGTGGAACAAACATTATTTACGCGGCAAAAATAAAGCTTAAAGTGGTACTACATACAACGCATAGGTAACCCTTATTTAATATTTGATGATAAGTTGAACACGTATTTATTTTATAAAACAAACAATACTTATTAATATATTAAAAAGATAACTGTTTAATCTAATATACGTTAATGTACTTCGCAATCCCCATATTCAAACTTATCATCCTATATTGGGCAACGTATTATATATTATAAAGGTCAATTTGTGAAAGAGCCATGCAACACAAATGTGTTAAAAGCGGTGCAAAGTTTTCGAACAGTTACAGAGGAAAGCAAACAAACACGTCCGGAAGCACAACAAAATGGCGGTTAGATTCAATGAAGGCTGTTCGAAAACTTTCTAACTTCGATGAGTAATAAAAAGAAAGAAATAAAAAGAATTCGATGAGGGCCGAACTATTCACATCAATCGCCACACCCATACTATCGCCACAAACAGCCTCCAAATTTCTGCCGCCGCCATTTTATATTTGTGCATAACAATGGCTGTTAGTTGTAAGTGTAAAGTACAACATGTCTTAGACTAAGTAATAATTTTGCATTGTGTAAAATGAATACTGTGCAAATTTGAAATATGAACTGATAGTATAAAAGAGATTGTTTAAAAGAATATACTTGTAAGGTTTTCTCTTAAACAAAGGTGTGAAAAACCACAAAAAAATAGTAACAAGATTGAAAATATAATTCAATTAGAAATTCTTATATAACTGAATGTATTCTTCAAAAATTTAATCGAAAAAATAAAAGCATACAATAGGATTCATTTCTATAGCCTTACAAATTAATTATTATGAGAAGATTTTTATTCATTAAAAAGCTTATTCATGTTCAAAGTTAATTGATTTTTAACAATCCACCATCTCGATAATGAATATTAATATTCAATTCATTTAAATTCATGATAAATATTTCATTTCATTCTGCAGATTTCGACAGATCTGACGTTAATTAATATTTTTCCGTAGATATAAATAAAAGGTTACAAGAAATAAAAATGAAAAGTGACTCGCGAACAGCCATTGTGTGCATATGTGTCCGAAAGTGAGTCAAAATCATTTGCAAAATGTTTAAATAATGGCGTTGATTGGTCAGATTATCTTTGTTGAATTATAAAAGTATTAATTTTCAACTTGTTCTGTTTTTTTACGTTTAATTACGTATATGCGTGTGTTATTTCCTTATATATGTTAGTACTTAATAAGACTTATACAGAGCAACGCACCCCAAGTTTAGTTAATGGTAAACAAAGTTTAATTATAAATTTTGCAAGCTGCTTTGTTGGGGTTATTTTGATAATACGTCAAGTTATTGGCTTGGCATAGGTTGGATTGCCAACTAGTTTATATTTCGTGGTTTTAACACTAATTATGAAGAGAAAATTTTACGAACTCAGCTGAATAACCAATTGCAATCGTTGTGCAACGCCCACGGTGTGTGTCAGTCCCATATATGTTTTTTTTTTAAACATCATTACCGTTGTAAAATTGCTCGCTTGAAAAATTCCTTATTATGGTATCGGGTGATATTCTTTTTTCAAAAGCAGAATGAATTACTAATTTGTAAGGCTAAAAAGTCTGTTTGACATTCAAACAGTCCAGAACCTTATGTCTAGAACTGGGACTCCTTATTTATGCGCAAATTTTTGCAATTCAAGTAGATAAGACCCGTGATGAATATTCTTTAATAAGGTATATCAAAGACATGTTAGCATTACGATATAAAATTATAAATCTAACCTCGATAGTTATTTTATATAGTTTGGATGTGAGTCTAAGCATTTTTATAAATAAAATAAAAATGTTAGTTAGTGCTGTTTGATTACCTAATTATGTGATAATTCAACGCTTAATTCTTTTTATTGGTTTTCTCATGTATAATATATTATTAAACGTCATGTTTATGAAAAACGATACAATGAAATATCATAGCCATGTTATTCGACAAAATAAAAGTTCTTGTTGTGCTGTTTACCCATATATAGCGATGATAATTTTAACTTATCATTTGTTATTGTACAATGAAAACAACTCAAACTACACTTAGAGTTTACTCTGATAAACAGTTTGTCCATAAAAAAGGTTCCCTTATCTTTTAAGCTGGATATGCTTATCAAATAAAATACCAATTACCTTATAAATATTTCATCAGATACACGATTGTATGGACGAGCAAAACCGCTTTGATGAAATTGAATTCTTCATTAAATTGAAGCGAATGTGTTTAAAATTTAGCACTGAGACCAGTAAAGATGGAAGATACGAATTGATCGAGTATAAAGATTTTCTTTAGAAGTACCTATTTCTATTGAAATTCTGCAATTCAATTAGAGCCACTGTATATTTTGGTTTTTTATCTTTTTGTGCTTTAAGCATAAAGCACAAAAAGATAATGATATGAACTAAGTAGTTTTGCTTGAAATAATCGCTTGCTATCATTATAAGTCTCGAAAGTTACTTTGCTCGTTTAGCATCAAACACAATGGTTCTAGATAAGCAAAATTTTTCCTTAGCTCCGTACTTCCTGTAAGACGTAAGAATCTTATCAGCGAGCCATAAATATGATTGACTTTAACGGCCATCAAATTGACGGTAGTTCCTATAATTCACAGACAATGGTCAGCCGCTTAATTTATATCCTAACCCCCGACCGGTGACCCTGCTTAATGATCGCTAGGGCAGATTTATCTACTACTGTTTTCGAGGGTTGCATAGAGATACTGATTTGAGGAATTCCTAAGCTTACGTCATTTCTTTATTTGCGTATTAAAGATGGAACTTATTCAAAAAATTAAACTTTTACTTTTATAACTTAAGTTGTACTAATATATTTCGCGTTTTAAACCGTTAAAGTGTTTTATTTAAATATGAACTCGCGTAAACAGACAGTATACAATTAAACTTATTACACGGTAAATTGTGTATAAGTTTTACAGCCTTAGTTACGCTAGGACCAAAGTTGGGTGGTAGTAAAAATAAATTGACTAGGCTGTTTCTCGTTTCAAAGGTTTAAAGTGTTATAACCAATATAAAAAAAAATATATTTACACGACGAAGCTTACTTTACAAGTTGAATATGTAAACTCTAAACGTACAAATTTAGTTTGGAAAGTTTATTTTACACACAATTTATTTTTTTTAAATATATGCCGCTACGGCTATAGGCAAAATGAAGTCATAAAAGCATCCCCTCTATGAGGAAAATTGGTTAAATTTAGAAAATTTATGTGCTTCCTTCACAGTGGATTGAATTGCGTGTAAATTGTGGAATAACGAATGGTTCGTATTTTTTCCTCTACGTCGTATCGAGGGTTTTCAATTTGCGTGATGAGCACTTCACTAAGATTAACCATTTAATGTTGGTTTGATGAATTCGATTATATCTCACCGAATAATTTTAAAACACAAAAAATACAAATAAAAAAAACATAGCATGTACCTACATAAAATAATAATATTAATTTTATTTCTTGTTCGAAGTTTTAATAATTTTGGCTTTGCCATACGAATATTGTGGAATTACACTGTATCTAAACAAATATAGATCCTTGATTCGAATCCCGGTAAATCAAAACAGTGAAATTAATAATTTATTTGAAAATAAATTCGATAGAATCGAAGATAAATTTCTTTTATATTGTTGTTAATTGAATTTCAGAAAGAATCCTTATTTATATTATTCCTCACATTATTACAAATACAGTTGATTTTCGAAGACATATTTTTCATTCCATTATATTATTTTTATCGTTCCTATTATACCTCTAAGCGAAGAATCTACCAACTCAATACACTTCGTGAGAATAATTTCTTTCAGCCCGTTTTACGAGTCTTTGGAAAACCGATGTCTATATTTCTCTAAAAGGGCATGAAAATTGTTGGTACGAATTGCGAGTCTTATATAGGAAAATTGGTTTCAGTCATAAAGATTAGTAGAAATTAGACTTTTACCAAAGATACTTACTAATGTCAATAATGTTCTACGCGGAAATATATAAGTGCTCTGATATTTTACAAGAAATACAATATGAAACTTCAAACACGTCTCCAAGCAAGTCTAGCGTAACGCTGTGAACTCTCGGATTTTTTCTATAGCATAATCTGACCAATCAAGTGACGTCAACATACCCTCGATTAGACCTGAACTGCAGCAGTCGGGACTTGAGTCCTCTGCGCGGCAGAAATTTGGGGCCTCCGAGTGTGCTAGTAAAAATCTTACGTTGTAGTAGAAGCAACATTTAGTACGCGGGTCACATAAGTTACGCAAGGGTATATAACTTAAATTTAGGTCTATGACATTGTTTTATACTACAGATTATACATCGATCTTTGTTCTGCTGGTTCGGGTAGAACCTAATATACCTAATCCCATCTAAAGTTTATATACGCCACTGTCTAGTTTCCAATTTTAAAAATCTTAAAGTTAATTTAAATTCAGAATACGAGAGAAGGTAACACTCAACTCCATTAAAAGCTTCAGAATACCAACCCATATTTGTAATGTTAATACGTTAATAACATGCTCAAGCCGCGAATTCTCTTATAAGCTAATCCCATTTCGGTTTTAATGTTCGACATATAAACGTGAAAGACATGCTATATATACGTTCAAGTGAAACACACAATTCAAATAAAGAACTCACTCTGCGTTGGTTTCCGGTGTCGGCAGATCCCCTATGGTTGTGAGGGTGAGCGTGGACCAATAAAGGGAGCCGAGGTACTTCCGGGTTAGAGTTGCATAGTCGCCGGGACGATGTGGATATGCCCAATCACCCTAAATGTACAATGATATTGGAAATTAAGATATATATTATAAAATAATAAGGATTGATTAAACAAGTAATTTTTTTTATGTCTTAGCCTAAGAAAAGTATACAAATACGAGTATTGTTTTCTGTTACAATACAAGAAACAAAACATTCATTTAAATTAAAAACAAACGGCGGCCTTATAGTTAAAAAGCTATCTCTTCCCAGAATCTGCGGGGTAACTGAAAACACAGCAGTAAAAGAGCTTTACGTGACAGTAGAACTTATAATAACAATAGTACAAAAATGAGCTTAATCTCATATACACTGAATTAGAAATAAATAGTGGGACTTGAAGGAAGCGAGACCCTGGACTCTTTTGATATTATTAAAAGGCATCACTAAAAAGTCAATACTGTAGAGTTATGTTATGCTTGAAAACGACACTATTATTGTAAAACATTTATTGATAAACGTAACATTTTAGCGCTGTTTTTATCACGCTCATTTCCATCTATTTTTCAAGTACGATTTCAAATATTCCTATACTTCAAGTGAAAGACAATTAGATGTAAGATACAGATAGTGCAGTCATCGCCAGTCATTTTGACTAGACAGTTTATTGCGACTCCCACCTTCATTAAGAACTTCTGGATGACCGAAAACTTTTCACGGTTAATGAAAAAACTTTTTATGACACTTGATAGCGTTAGCGGAATTACTCTAACTGTCTTGCAATGCAATTGAAAATCTTTCTCTAGTAATTGTTTCAAGATAATATTTATTCAACTTTTATGGTTTAAAACGCCTTCTTATTATATCATATTTATTATATGCTGTGTGCAAAAGAACACATTATAATTGGTCTTAGTAAACAAAGTGTTGTCTTATACACTTTGTTTACTTCATACAACATATTAAAGCATTGAGAGACAGCTCTTATATTTTAAATCTTTTTATTTTTTAACATGTTATTTGCACATGAAGGCACTATATAATTTAAAAACGAAAATAAATTAAAAAAATAATAATCTAGGGCAGCATAAGACGTTGAACCTTAATTCGCAAGAGTTAAGGTTGTAATTACATTGCGCGAGTGGTGCGTGTATCAATAAGTTGACAAAATTCGACGATGTAGTAGGACTCGGTAGCTCAATTGGTAGAGCAACAGCACGGAACGCTGACGATGCCGGTTCAAGTCCTGCCCGAGTCGAAAAGTTTTTCAATTTATTTTAGATTTTTAAAGCTCTTATATTTCCAATATTTTTTTATGATAGGAAGAGGACAAGCATGGAGTGGACTTCGTGGTGGGTGAAACACCTCAGCCATATAACATTTAAGAAGATGCCCACATACGCAAATAGAAACGCGATTAAACTGGACGGCTTTTTCAGACAGGCGACAGATCTTTCACAGGCAACAAGCCTATACGTATTTACCAAACTTAATCATAATTTCTCAAAATACAATACCTAATTAAGGAAAGTTCTATTAAATTACCTGAAAGCCTTCCGCTTCGGACAGAAGAAAGTAAAAGCAGCCAAACCAATGCGCCAAAATGAGAAGAATATGTATCAAGTTGATAACACGCCAAAAATTTGGATAAACTGTCCGCGATTCAACGATGTAGTAACAACTCACTGCTCTGTACACCTGAAACAAACTCGAATTCTATAACTCTTTAAATAAAACACTTTAAGGGTTTAAAAGGCGATATATATAAGTTGAACTTATTTGAAAGACTGACGGGTCTCCCCGTGGCCACGCCTGCTGCAAAGCATTCGAAACGTCGGGCCGGAGTTAAAATAATTTTCAAATCAGTTTAACTAACATATACCGCGTTTTAAACCGTTAGTGTTTTATTTCAATGTGTACTACTCACTTAAACTACAACAGTAATCTATACACATGTTAACAAGAAATTTAAAGGATAGTATTATTTATGTATTACCTAAAAGAAAATACTTTTTTTTTTCAGGAAAGATAACAGAAAAACATATGTAGGTTACCTACATATGTTTTCAATTGATACGAAGAGATGACAGATTACAAAATAATGGTGCCTTCTCAAAAACCTTGATTAAAGATAATTTTGTGCAAAGATATTTGAAAATAAACGAAATTTTTTCAATATAGTTTTAATATTGCAAGTTTTTCTAATAAATTTTCAAAATAGTAAAAGTTCAGTATAAATAATGGCCAAATCGTACCTGACGGCGACTAGAATGAAAAAACATCGATTTTTTTCTAGGAAATATGAATTAATAAAGCCACGAAGCGGTATGGATTTTTTTCCAAATATGATATTTTTTTAATCTGTTTGTTCAAAAAGTATCGATAGAGGTCGTATTTATCGTTAAATAACGTTAATAAGGATGTATAATTTATTGTATTTTGCTTTTTATATGTAAAAAGCAAGTAAACTAGCGTGTAACGGAACGATTTGTCATAGACGCGCTATCAATTGACATTTCGGATCACGGATATTTGACTAACAATTTTTGTTACCTTCGTTTTGATATGAATTGGATTTAATTTTTTTTTGTATTTATCCTTCCATAAATTCATTCTACTTTTTATCATTTTCTTTTTTTTATCTTTTTCATTAAACCTAATAAAAAAAGCTCTTTAACATGCTTATTTCTGCAGTTGATACATATATTTTGCATATTTTTATGTTATGTATTACTGTTATAACTTTAGAAACAAAATTGTTAACTTCACTAGAAATACTAGAAAAAAGATACGTGAATAAACATTGTTTGATAAGCGATAGCCCGAAAATAGCGTCACGAAAAGTTTTCCTTAAAAATAATGTGAGAGGTGTATTATTTAGAGAAGCGGTCTAATGGACAGATCGAGGCCGACGCGGGGAGGCTTCAAATAGGCCGTGCCATCGAGACTGACAGCGTAAGTGGAATCCCCGGCTTTTTCTCGACCCTTTGCGCCACAGAATACTAATGAAACAGTAGGCAATAATAAAAGTAGGCAAAGGTTTGCGAATTCTGTTTTATATGTGTAAATGTCAACTTTTTAACTTTCATAAGTAGTACAATAAATTTTTTTGACAATTGAATAGATAGGACTTTTAATTAAATATCGAATTTAAATGAATTGAGCTACCATGTCAATTGCTTAGAGCAAAAGCACGGAACGCTGTAGATGTCCGGTTCATATCGCGCCCATGTCGTAATTTTTTTTCAGTCTAAAATAGATTTTTAAAGCACTTCTTGGTTATGATTATATTCACAAGATGAAAGATGTAATATTATAGGTAGAATAGTGGTTATATTTGTTAAAAGTATTTGGATATTATTATAAATTATAAAATAAGGCCTTTCCTAGCTTTTCTACGAAAATGTTCGAAAGAAGACTGTAAATGTTACCCTGTGGCTACGATCTAGCAAGACATATGAGCAGCTTATGCTGCATTATTGCTGATACGCTGAGGCACTTGACGAAATTATTGCTATATTTTCTACTCACAGTAAAGTAGTCGGGATAAAGATCTATTTGTGCTGAATAAAAGCATTGATAAATGCAATTGAGCGAAGTAAGACTCTCTAATCCTAGTTCTACCGTTCGTTTTTAAATTCGTTTTTGGACTCCCTTCTTAGGCTAAAACGGTGTTATAGTATCTAGAATTATAGATTATGTAATTTTTCTGGTTTAAAGTCTATGCCAAATGTATATTTAGGTGTATAATTTATAATAATAAAAGCAATACTACATGTTCTCTGTGTATGTTATTTTATTTGAACTAAGCACGGTTTTAAATTCGAAATATATTAGTTTACCTTAAATATGGTACGTGGGGGGGGGGGCGTTAAAATTAGGTAATATATTTCACATGTGATATCATTAAAAGTGTTTTACTTATTATAAACTACAGACAATGTTAAGTTACTTGCAATCACCGAGTTATAAGTGTAGTTAGTAAATAATCATACCTTCAGAAATCTGGGAAAACGTATGATGGGGTTGGTTCCGATGCGCAGCTGTAGCAGATCCAGAGGAGTCAAGGCAGCCAAGTCCAGCAGAAACGAGCGCGATGTAAGGTAGTGCTTCGCCAGTTTCTTGGAATCATATACCTGAGTACACACATTTTTTGCGTTAAGAACGTATCTGAGTACAAATATTCATTCATTTGAAAAAACGTAATAGTATCGTTCAATTAGGGTCAAATGTAGCTTCAACTACTAATCATATTTCACTAATTGACAGACATTTTTCTGGGCACTTGCCTCATAAAGGACCGGGCTTCCATTTTACTACGTATTAAATTATTTTATTGTAGTCTGAGTAAGCACATCCAGTTGATAAAGAATATTTTTTGTTTTTAAATTTGACCTAAGGTTTTATTACATTTATTACTTTAATTAATTTCTCATTAGCTATAGTTCTGTTTGATTGTAATTCAAGTAAAATGCACGAAGTAATGTCAAATCAAGAGCTAATTACATACTGTTAAAATCCTACGTGACAGTAATTAAACGTCAAAAATAAAGTAAAGATCGTATCGTTCGTTCAGAGGCGGGCTCAGTTCATTACGGCGATAATTAAGTAATTGACAAAGAGTACTTATATTCAGGATATATTAAAAGGATGTTCATTAGTTTTGTCTAACAAATTGAAGTGATTAAAAAGTTGCCTAAGCTTTGGATAGAAGAAGAACTAGATAGCATACCATGAGTCCCTGCTCCAAATAACCAGTGCGAAGTTGGACTACAAGATCCAGGGCAAACACCAGGTCACCGATACCATCACACGTCAGCCAGAAATAGTGACACATCATCTGGAAAAGATGTAAAGCATCTATATTTTACGTATTTTAGTAAATGCTTCATAATAAATAGCATATTTATAATTTTTCTTAGCAACTACACTGGAAAAATATATGATGTTCGATAGGCGAGATATCTACTTTGGAAATACGATTACTTGATGGCCATAAATGATATTTACTGACGCTTATCTGACATGTGATATTTGCTACATTCCCGGTACATATTCCATTTATCTCATTGTCTAATAAAATACCTTTTTATAAAAAATAGGTTTGAGTAGATTACAATATACAAGATTCCGCTTGACCCAGTGCACAAAAGTACTTGACCGTTTTCCTTTATACGTAAGCGTGTCTCAGGAGGACAATAATTTTCCCAAAGGTTCGAATTCGAATTGCAGGCTCAGCAGAAAATAATCCTTTAGTCAGGCTGAGACTGGAAGATTTAATTCAGTAAGGAAAGTTTACTTCAGTTCTGAATGAGAACGCGAAGGAAGTTATTGCCAACAATTTGTCAATGCTCTGCTTCTCCTGCTTTGCATTTTCGAAATGCAGTTAATTTATCCAAAGCATTTTAAATGTGTAGATAATTTGTACCCCGTAGAATATTTTATTTAATATTACATTATTACAATAAAATCGTACTTTGTATTTTAAAAAGCACGAACGCATCCATAAGGAAACGTTATATGTCAAATTTGTGAACTGTCATATTTTGATCGGGTTTACTTATTCAAAGTTATTTCTTCAATTTGTGAGAACTACAAATTAAGTGCTAATTTAATATATATTATGTAATGGATCGTTATTCCATGGAACTGGAATTTTTACTTAAAGATCTGAGTATTTCACTGTGAAATAACTTAATTTTCCTGAGACGTCCAATAAAAACCTTTTGTTATAAGGTCTCAGACTGGAAGGTCTCTCTTGAACAAACATTTTCCGTCGCCTCCACTTAATTTCATTAAGAAAGTGTCACGTACGACCACCTTTATTGCTCGTCTATCGAAGATATTACTGGAACTCACATTTTATACATTTAATTGAGTTCGTACTAAAGCGCATGTTTTACTTCGATGATTTGAGAGCAAAGCGGTTTACTTCATGGAAGGTGGAATAAATATAGGTATAACATTTCAACAAAATGTCCTGTTGACTTAATTTAGCTTTGGATATTTGGAAATCCACAGACTGATTCAAGATTGCCATTATCAAAATGTAGGTGAAAATACATTATTCATTATAATATATCTACAATTTCATATCAAGTGCAAAATTAATAATTTATACACGAAAACTTTTTAAAGACTGCTACGTTTCTTAATGCTTAAGCCAATTCCTAACGTTAAACACGAGACATCCAAGTTCAAATTTTGGGAAAAGATTAAACAATATTCTATAGGGCACAGAAGTCTCAATAACGACTGGCGTGTAAAAGAGTTATGTCGATATAAAATTTGCCCCATACTCGGGGCACAACAGCACTAATCGTCTGCAGATTTGTTAATTTTGCTTTTGATAACTTTAATATTTTTTCACACGATGGCGCTAAATAAATTAAAAATCAATAGATTAAAAAAATCAACGATTACGTGTATAACACGCTGGCTCAATTAGTCGGAGCGATGTGGATGCCGGTTCTTATCCTTTTTAATTTATATAATTTAGCATTGTTTGTCAAAAATGTATATCAGTGATATAGTGAACTGTCTAAGCTATTTGGACACTGCAGATTCAATTTCAAACATTGGATCAAAAGGCCATTCCGTCCGCAGATAATGAACGCTGCGATTAGTTTGTCATCGGCCCACCTCAACGGACGCTCTCAACCACATTGTTCACTCGAAATGCTTATCGAGGCAATGCGCGTCCTAATTGAACCTCGTCCAGGCAATTTGTTCAAAAAATTGAGCCTTTAAATTTTATTATATATTAACGTTACAATACTCAATCTGAAAGACGTAAAACCACCATAACCACACACACGTGATAGATTCAAACGCTATTAAATAAAAATACGTGTTGGTGTTTACGGAAAATCGATAAATTTATTACTCAAGCAGTAATAAAAATACTATTAAGAAGTAATATGGTTTCTCTATATTATTATTTATATTTGATAAAAAAAAAATCTCTATATTAGATTAAAAAGTTGAAGAGTTTGTTTGAACGCTCTAATCTCAGATGGTACTGGTTCAAATTAAAAAAAATATTTTTGCGTTAGATAGACCATTTATCGTATGTCTTTGAGATGTAACCTCTCGCTGCAACGAATATCAAAATAAAATAAAAAAACAGAAGAAATTATTTAAATAAAACACTTTAACGGTTTAAAACGCGATATATTAGTTAAACTCCCTTGACCACAGCTGCTGCAAAGCATCCGAAACGTCGGGCCGAAGTTAAAAATCATTTTCAAATAAGTTTAACTAATATATCGCGTTTTAAACCGTTAAAAAGTTTTATTTAAATGTGAAATAGGAATATACTATATATAATAATACGAAAGAATTATTACTTTATAAATTATCTCATAAAAAATCCGCCACAATTTTTTTGTTGTGCTAGTTGACTATACTTATGTGTATTTGTGTACAAATCGTTTACAAAACTAGAATACAACGACTTAATAACCGGATGTGTGAACAGCACAACAAAACTTTTAACATATGTTTAATTTATATGGTAAGATTTATTTTATAAGGTATTTTATCTCACTTGGATTTTTTGAAATTTCTGACAAATTCATTACCCTTAATTTTAGCTTCTCCATCGTCGGGTTAAAAGGCATTATCGCTCTCGCAAAATATACATTTTATTTTGTATCATTATAACCAAAAGATAAGTTCATATTTTAAGAGAATTGCTTCGCTAAAATATTACAGATTTCATTTATATCTCTCAACGTAATTATGCTTTAATGTTCTTACTTTGGTGTTACTACTACTATTTTATTTCGCGAAGTCTTATTATTATAAGTGCCATTTTATAAAAGTGCTTTATTATTTTACGCAGTTTATTTAGAAGAGTACTTTATGAAAAACGGAATAGTGCTTCATTTCCATACTATATTTACAATTTTTTTTATGATAGAGGAAGACACGTAAAAATGATTGTAGGTTATAGCCTCAGCATATAGCATCTAAACAAGATGCACTTTCGACTTCTTAGAGCTTTGGATATTCGTATTCGGATTTATTACTTCATAAAATACAGATGTTGCTTAACTCTTTATTAAATAGTAGTTAGTAGAGTTTTTTGTAACGACGTTGGAAAGTAAAAATATAATGAATAAATATTTTGTACCTGTAGTTCAGGGAAACTTTGTCGCACTATTAGCGTCCAGAGATTATAGAGCACGCACAGAGTAATTAGCCATAGCCAGTAGAAGTAGAAATTCTCGTCCGGGTTGACAACGGTTCTTGGTGCACGTACTTTTCTTCTCCTTTGTCGTGTAGTTGATCTATGTTCACCAGCTGCTCCTTCAGAACCAGTATCTTCTACCTGAAAATTACCAAGATTTATAAATTGGTGTTGTAGTTCAAAGTGTATACCTGACTCTTACCATACGCCTAATACAAAGACTACTTAGACAGATTTCATTATTTTAATAACATTGGCGAATTGTGAATTTATATAACACTAAATATATCTCACTGTTTCTTGTGTTTCCGGAATCTGACGCGTCGAAAATCTTTTCAGGAATGAATCTTCTCGCTTTAATGTTGGCTTTTTCTGGATCGCTGAGCTCAGCTGAACTGTCGTCCTTAACTTCATCCATCTCTGATTCGACTTTGTTCTGTATCGTAACAAAAATATTAGTAATTTTGAAGTAAAATTCTAGTAACACTATTGAAAAATTGTTTTAAATAATTAACCGTAATTGGTTTTAAAGAGGTCCTTACAGTATGGAGGTACTGTTCCAGGTTTTTAATCAATTGATAATTTATGTTTCTAAAAAAAATAGGTGCTCCTCAATGTATTGGCAAACGTGAGGTTATATTTATATTTGATTAACAGGTGAGTTAGTCGTGCACACATCTAATTTGTATCATGCTGCATGGCACACAAGGTAAAATAAAAGTCCAATAAACAAACTTGTTCGAAGAATCTAAACTAAACTAAATCTAGTCTCGAAATCTATGTCTTAATGTCTCATTCAAGTGCAAACAAGAATAACGTTAAAAAAGATTCGATTATCAAGAATTGGAAAATCAAAGTCGTTCAAGAAACTAGTAGGCACAATAGTCACAAGAAAACACACAAAATCCACCGATTAATTTGTACATTCCCGAAGTCCTAGAGAGGATAGAGTTGGAAAACAACGATTAGAATACAAAATTTAAAGATGTTGTTGCTCTCGTATACAATCGAACCTCTTTATTTTCCTGAGTGCCTGGTAGTATGCCATGACAGCTTGCACGTGTCTCCATTTATGGCCGCGTTTGTCTGAATCAGACCCGGGCCCCTCGGAATCCGGCTCGGACTTCCGAGCTGACGAACTCGATGCAATGATCGGTCGCCTACAAAGGGATGCTCGTGTTATGTGATGGTGTTGCTATACTATGAGTTTCGTCATTTTCCTAAAAGACTCCAGTTACAAAATCAGGGCCGCAGGTACCTACGCTGCTTTTCAGTTTAAAATTTCACAGAACCAATTTGAAATCAACAAAGATAAATAGAAACCAATTTTGGAGTATCGTTTTATTAGCCTTTCTGATTTGAGACTAACGATAACGTGACTGAAATATACGACGGAGAGAACGAAACTCACAGCTTTCCTTTGTGATTGGACTCCGCGAAATAAAAGTCATGCATCTGTCTATACTTTGTCTTATATAAGATGATAAATTTAACACTTGATAGAGTGGTATATAAATTTGTTTTAATGTATTCTATTGTTTATTTTTTATGTGGATTTGATAGTAGTTGGAAACCACTCTCTTTATACTATTTATATAGATATTATTGATTTTCTAAAGGAAGTGCACTTTTACAAATGAGGTACCCTTTAATAAACTTCAATATTCATTGAACCAAATAATGCAATTACTCTAATTATTAAAATGTTTCATCTTATATTAGATAAAGTATCCTCGATATTCTATTGTGTGATGTGATGTCTAAGCTTTGAGTTGTGCGCTTCGTGCCTCTAATTGCTGCCACTTGGGAGGTTGTAGGTGGTTAGGAGCTGTATCGGTGGAACCTAATGGTATGGATACTGAATCATGCTCGTCAACGAAGATGAAGTGCCTCTTGGCTGGATTCCAATCTTCGATCTGGGGCATTCATTTGTTTATTATTCACTTCAATACATTGACATCATTGTTAAAGAGGTTTTGTCAATTTGAATTGGCGATCAAAATGCTACGAGACTCAAAAGACTTTTTTGTTGCTCTACATAAGGCTATGGTTTCCTATAAACGCCGTTTAGTACTATATTAATGTGACCGTCCTTATCTCCATATTGAAGCTATAGGCAGCATTACAACAGTTTTTCAATGGTTCTAGTTATTTCGTAAACTGCTGTGAATGACACACTGTTTTATGTGCATGAGATACACTGCTGATGAAAAAGATTTAAACGTAAGCATTTTCACAGGGTGAAGCGTTTATAAGAGACCACAGCCTAATGCTTCGGGTCACGATTGCGAATAATTTATGTACCAGGATATAATAGACACAAAGAGGTTGGAGCGTTATTTTTTGTGGAGATCATCAATTGTTAAGCTGATCTAATTCAGTAACCATCACCAGAGGTGAACACACCCAGTGCCCTGCTATAAAGCGAAGCGTAATATACTTTTTGTGTGTACAACTTACACGTCTTCGTTTCGCGTATTTGTCGCGAATGGCGAAAACTTGTTCACCAACCTAAAATTATTATTTACAACTCACTTTAATTATAAGGTAAATACAAAATCATGTTTAACAATAGTCTTAACTATAAAGCTTTTTTTATATTTTTTTATAATGTAGCCAAACTTTTTTAATGAATTTCTTTATATAGAACATAGAATAAATATAGCTGTGTCAACGAGTTCGTCCGCGTAGAATAGTTATTGAGGTGACGCCCAAATTTGTTTTTGCAAACCTTCCTTCATCTTTATTTTAAGCTGTTACCTGCGACGACAGTGGCGTCTCGTCTTGCAAGTTTTAAAAAATACACATATACGACATTTTTTAGATCATTTAATGAAGAATAATTCTTTCAGACATATTTTAGTGTTTCTTGAACCGTTATCGCAGCGTACGCAACCGAAACCCACAATGATTAGTTTTCCCTGTTTTCTCCAGATTTTCCGCTGTTTCTTCCCTCTTTTTTGTCATAGCGCGTTCTTTTTTAGCCTATAACCTTTCTCGAAAACAACAATTCCCATTAGTAGTTACTGAGAATACCGCGTTTAAACAAACAAACAAACTCTTCAGCTTTATATATTAGTAGAGATATTGTAAGTTTTATAATGTAGAAGATAGAATAAATATAATAAATACGAACATTAAGAATACAAAAAAGCGTTTACCTCAAGTTTGGCTAATGGCGCTCTACTTGTTACTTGTTGTTAAAGTCACGTATGAATAGACGCTATTTCGAAGCCATTACATAAATTGCTTTTGCTAAGAAGACGGTTTTCTTTATACATTGTTCTATTTAATGAAATGATACTTTAAAATGCACTCAAATAAAACTAAATGTACGCTTTTTGCATTTTAGTTATTATATTTTATGTAAATGAAACAGCCGCGTTGATATAGTCGAAAATCGAATGTTAAATTAGGTGGCAGATATATATAAGTCGCGCGAAATATAAAATTTTGTATTTATAATTATGTATTATAATAAAATATTTACTTCTATTGCGGAGCTTAGAATTAGAGAAAGCCATTATGGTAAAACTAGCCTGTCCCGATTATCTTCACAAAAAATGTATAAATATATTATTATTATTTAAATCGTTGTTAAATAAGACGAAATTAAGATAATTATGATTTGGTTTTTATTTACATAGTCAGCTACATATGAAATACGATAGCATAATACTACTATCGGACTGTACATCAGTAGAGCTAAGATAATCCCTATTAATTCCATGTCAATACAACCACGGGGAGGTTACAAATGATTATAAATGTGTGATGTGCCTCGCATATTAAAGACCCTCCGACTTATTATTAGAAGCTAAAACTAAAAATAGCTTAAACTAAGTATCTTTAGTTATAGTAGCAATTTTAAATAGACTTACGAGTATTATTTTTAACGATGAAGACCAAACTTCACGAATATTATAGAGATCCACCCTCCCAAAAATAATATAAAAACTGTTACGTTGATAAGATAATTATTAACAGCTCCCTTTAGAGTACGGTAAAGTAAAAGACACAGTACACATTATCTACAATCGTAGCACGACATAAAGACACGTTATAAACAAATTATAAAAAAAATAGTTCGCGATTTTGTTTTTTTTTTTTAGAAAAACAGACAATCACGGGGTTTCTGTGCTCAAGGTTATAAATATCCCAACTATATAACAAAATGTGTTGGCGACCTATTTTGACTTTGTCCATTCGGAAATTTACAGCCTGAAAAAATATTATTACACTATATGAAAAATGGATTAGGGCCATGATGAAATTTCGATAATCCCACCACGTATTTAATATCCAAATTTTTCAGACGAAGGCCAACATTAAAATAAATGCTAAAGACCCCATGGTTAGTGAATCCCACGACCCATTAGTATTAGCATTACATTGTTACTATTAGACTAACATTTCTGTCGTTTCCTAGCGTCTGAAACGAGTTTTAAAGACGAGCTTGACGAGTGAAAGACATGCTTCAAAATCAATATGCTAATCTAGCATCCGCGACCCTTGTTGAACTGCTGACACTAATCCACTCCTGTTCTTGACATCGTCACTGTCGCTAGATCAAATTATGTCTGTGAAGTACACATTTCAGATTATAAAATTGAATATGTATAATGTATAATTATGCCCATAACTTTTTATATATTAAAGAAGTATGCTTAGGAAATTATAAACAAGAAGATCACACAGTTTTGATTAAGGTAAGTCGTGGGTTTGAGTACGACGAAGTTAGTGTAACGTATTTTCAATCGAAGTTTTAAATTGTCCATTGTAAAAGATATCTACTACAAACTAATTATGCCAAATTATTTATTATTAATTATAATAGTAATTATGCAAAGGTTGCCTGGAAGAAATCGCCATAGGCGATAAGGCCGCCTTTGCACAAACATGTTTTATTTTGTATATATAATTCTATGTATCCATGTTCTTATGTGTATGTTTGTGCAATAAAGAGTTTATTATTATTATGCCAATGCGAGTTTTTATACATTAAAGAAGTATATTTAGAAAAAAGCAAATCAAAAATAGTTAGCGAGTATCGTGGGTTTTAATCCTGTCCTTATCACCGATTTTACTAATTGAGAATAACGTATTTTCAATTCGAATTTGTCAAAATACTTTAACATCACCCTCCACAATACCCCCTGCCTAAAATCTAACAAAAATGCAATTTTGAATTAAGTATGCCTTTGAGCCATTTGGAATTCATTGAATGAAGCCGAAATATTGGCCCTATATTGTACCACGAGGTTTTCTCAGTATGTACGATGGTCGATGGAATTTCGATATTCCTACCACTGCCTGACTGTATTTCTATTATGTTTGAAAGGAGAAAATTCGTTCTAGTGTTTGGTACGATATTACAGACGTTCTAGCGTAACTAAAATTATATCGAAAACGTGTTGCCTAGCTTGCGTCAAGCGCGGGAGGTCCTGAGTTGGAATCCCTGGAAAAATAAAAGATTCTATTGGTCAGGCAGAGCACAGAAGTCTAATCACTACGAGTACTTGCTAGTAACTAGAAGCGATCAGAAAAGCCAACAAAGAATTGTTGTCATCTTATGCCCCACAGGGGATATTTTACTGTCTGTGGTAAAAATAAGTCTGACGTAAAATATCTTGCAAAGGAATTCTATATTAATGAAGAGAATACGTGTTATAAATAAGAATTGATCGAATTCGAATTTGATCGTATATTTTATAAACGCTAAATATATATATATGGTGAATTGATGGATAAGATACTACGAAGGTTTAACTAATAGTTCATTAGTTCACATCATTGCACATTTTATATACGAGCCGATGACTCGAAGTTATTAGAACAGAGGAGAAAAGACTTCGTAGCATATTTTACGAATTATTACAAAATAACATTGAAATATTATAAACGCAAAAATGTGTTTATCTTCGCTTACGCCGTAACCGACGGACATATATCCACTGTTACTACTACTCATAGTTCTGAGAAAAATAACTTAAATTCAATATTTGTAGGTTTTGTTAGGATATATATATATATATATATATAATGTCTAAACTGCTTTTTTGATTCAGACAGTGATTTAAACTCTTTCCCAAGACCGAATAAATCTTACGAACTACGAATAGATTCTGAGTCATACTTCTAATGCCACATATGGCAGGTGTTTCGCACTGTATGACCGGCTTACCTTGGGCGTAATCAGATCAAGCGCGTGTCACAGGTGACGTCATCAAACAGCTGATTTAATAGAGAGATCTCTCTTCTGATTTGTCATATCAGTCTTATAGTGAAAAATATGGGTTTAATAGTAATTTTAATCTAGTTAAATCTAATTAAATCTAAATTGATATTTTAACTATATCAGAGATATTTTTACTAGCTGTGCCCGTGACTTCGTCCGCGTGGAATAGTGACTTGGGGCAGAATTTTTAATTATTTAGACTGTTTATTAATTTATGTAAGGGCACATTTAAGGCATCCAATCTATGTTGTAAGTGCTACTTTGCCGCAACACTCTAACCTCACAACACTCCTACTCTAACTCCCAATCTAACTCTTACTACCACTCCCACTCCAACTTGCACTCCTACTCCCACTCCTATTCCCAAAAAGCCAAAGAAAAAAGTTTCATTGTTCTAGCTTCAAAAACCACGAATTTCCATACACACTTTCATCCCCTTTTTCAATCCATATTTGGCCTATGTTCTTTCTCAGGCTCTAAAATATCTGTGTACCAAATTTCATTAAAATCAGTTCAGTAGTTTCGGAGTTGAAGCCGGACAGACAGACAGACACAGTTACTTTCGCATTTATAATATTAGTATAGGTTAATTCCAATTAAATATTTTAATTGCCCATTAAACACATACTTCACTACTAAATTACAAAACTTATAAGCTAAATGAAATATTAACATTCATATAAAATAGATAACGATGGCAATCGGTACCAGTGTCAGCTGTGCTGTTGAATGCTTGTCACACTCAGAAACGCTGCTTTTTAGACTGGCCCTGGTATGGTAGATTAGTTTAGATTTTAGTGAGTTCAGATTACTCGGTAACTCAATTGGTTAAAGCAACACTTTTGACTTTACTTTTGATTTTTAAATTATAGAGTTTAGTTGAGTACGTAACTTTTTATTTCTTAAAGCCGATGTTTATAAATTAGGTAACAATACAAAACGACCTACGTTCAAAAGATCTCGTATGTAAGATCGAAAGAGGGTGAGTGTTTGGTGTCTAAACATGCATTTTGCACGCTACATGTTATAGAAAAGTATTCAAAATGTACATATGTAATAGCGTTGAAATCCCAGTGTATATACACAAAGCCATTAGAAATAGATAGCATTCATGAATACTGGAGAATGCATGGTACATATAATAATGCTTCCTACTAAAAAACCTACTTATTACGTCTTGATTCCGATCGTAGTCCTGTTCACTTTTATTATTTAGAATATTATATTGTGTGGCCCCTCTAGTTCCATGGATATATTTTTGTAACTAAGATGTACGTTATTCCTTTTCGCCGAGTTGCTTTAAATATACTTAAATATGTTATGTTAAATGTAAGAAATGCGACTCTTGAAGTGAATACTACATTACGTTATACAAATTAAAAACAGTTATAATACGAAGAAATAGTTTTTAAAGTAAATAACATACGGTAAGAAGGAATTGATACAACCACATGGTATATTTATGTACACTTCTTACGCATTCGTATAGTGATGACCTAAAGTTCGCAGTAAACCGTAGTAGTCACAGGTTGAACAAATTTATCGTAATTCATCTCGTTGACGTTATACATTAATAAAGAATAAATTTAAAGTTCACCTTTGTCCCGGACTCTTGCTTGCATTGCTGGCGTTGATGCTGGAGTCATCTTCATCTTCCCTGGAGGTCGCAGCTGATAATCCACGGGAAGAATCCGCGTTCACCTCGCTGACGTCATTGTCTTCGCCTTCTGATGTTCTGCTAGTGCCTTCTTCAGCCTACGACAAGATAAAACAATTGGTTAGGTAATATAGATTATGCCATATAGTTTATACCAGTTTATACTTTACATAGTAATAATGACGACAATAGTTACAATGTAATATCGGTGCCGCAATAAGTAAATAGATTGAAATATTATTTTATATCGAAAATTAATTTCCAAAGCCGGGGCTCAAACCACAACTAACAACGAACCATTCCTTTAAAAAGTGAGTTACTGCGTTTTTGATTTCTTTTTTTTTTAAATTCATATAAGGTCCCACGTGCCTAACATATATATTGAAGTTTTGGTTGCATTACGGGTTAAAATATCTTAACGATTAATAAATAAATATACATAGGAATTTAATCAGTTAAAGTTGTTTTATTTTTACCGAGTTACATTTGGACACGTTCACTCGATACAAGATCCGATTTAGAGAAACAACCTCGAAAATACAGATTGATAATTGGACACACAGACAGCCTAGATATTAGATTATTAAATAAGTCCTTGAGCTTTACTTCTAGACCTAGATGTTCTAATATTTACAAATGTCACACTTTATGTAACGACCACTATAGCTGTGTAACTTATAAAAGTTAGATACACTAATATTGTACATATCTGACATATAAAATAAATGCAAATAATAAAGAATGTTTTGTAATTAACGTAATCCATGTATCATTTTTGAACCATGGGCGCAATAAATAAAGGTACAGTAGATGGAAATCTATACTAATATTGTAAATGCGAAAGTAACTCTGTCTGTCTGTCTATCTGTTCGGCTTAACGCCGAAACTACTGAACTGATTTAAATAAAATTTGGTACACAGATATTTTAGAGCCTGAGGAAGACTACTTTTTAATGCCAAATAATGGTTGATATGGCTTGAAAAGGAGGATGAAAGTCTGTATGGAAATTCGTGGTGACAATGAAACTTTCTTCTTTGGCTTATTGGGAATAGGAGTGGGAGTGAGAGTGAGAGTGGAAGTGTGTGTAGGAATGAGAGTGAGAGTTATAGTTGGAGTGATGTGAGGTGAAAGTGTTGCGACAAAGTAGTACTTACAATATAGATTGGCTGCCTTATATAAATTGTTTAAATAGCCTAAATAATTAAAAACTCTACTCCAAGTCACTATTCCACGTGGACAAAGTCGCGGGCACAGCTAGTAATATATATATGCTTGTTTTCTTATATAAAATAGTATATATAAAACAACTAGCTTTCCGTTCTATTAACAACAAAGTATTTATTTCTATTAAAAACAGGTTATTCTTATATGAGTAAGAATAATAAACATCTTACCTGGTATATACGTATAAGTGGTATAGAATTTTCCTTGATCATATTAACACATAATTTGGTTATTTGCACGTGCATGCATTCAAAAGTGAAAAAGTAATAGGGAGCTTAACGAAATATATTTAAGTTGTTTATAATGAATACAAATAAATTGACAAATAGTATATTCCAAACTTAAACGTTCTTGTGTTCGTATTAAAAAGATATAAGCATGAGTATAAGAAGATATAAGTATGAATGGAAATTATAGCTCTACGCTATTGCTAAAATAAAACACGTTGACTTAACAAAAAAAAGTTGATTCTGTATATATTTAACTATTGAGAATCCATCAGCAATGATATTGAAATACATTCAAAATGCAATTGAAATAAAAACCTGTCAATATCTGAACTATGTGGCCTTTGTAACTTGAGCTACAAAGACGGTGTAAACACATTTCAGTTCTCACAGCTGTCACAAAATACCTCTAAAATTGTCGGAGTCCAAACAAAAATCATATCGATCCCAATTCATTTGTCACTCGGGTAAAGTATTTTCAACAGTCCAAGTATCGCATGAAACGCGTAAATGGATTTCCCGGGAAATAGAATGTCTAGAAGCTCAAGTGACAAAGTGACGTTATCCCAAATTTTGACAACTTAATTGGAATTTTGTCCGTGACGGTACTTAGGATGACGATCGATTTCACGAGTATATTCAATGCGAGTGTACGTTAAATAAAAAATATTTTTATTCTTAGATAAATGAAAAAATATATATACGTAAATTAATCCGTTTGCTTTTTTTTATTAAACAAGAATAGAGACAAAATGGGGCTCACATCAAATCAATCATCGGTATATCTACCGCAGCAGCCTACAACATCTAAACAAAATGCGCTATCGATCTATTATGGCTTTGAATATTCGGAAATCCACAGATTGGAACCGAAACTGTGGACGTTCCACAGTGTCCACGGTGGTTCAAGACCTGGGCGGAATTTTCGATATTCCTACTACCCAATTAATATCCAGATTTCCAGACGAGGTCCAACATGTTTTAGACACAGTCTATAGTTTACGCGAGTAGTACACATTTAAATAAAACACTTTAACGGTTTAAAAAGCGATGTATTAGTTAAACTTATTTGAAAATGACTTTAACTTCGACCCGATGTTATAAATCATTTTCGAATAAGTTTAACTAATATATCGCGTTTTAAACCGTTAAAGTGTTTTATTTAAATGTTTCAGACATTTAGGTTTTAGACCTCGTCACATTTTTATGATCTACTGACTTCCTGTCAATGTACAAAACGAGTAGGTTTATCGAAGGTCGTAGAATATAGTGATATGGACTCGAATGGGTCTGAAAAGAAAATTCTCAGTTCATTTTCTTATAAAGCGAGAGTCAAAGGAGAGTAAAAGAGATTAGGGAAGCACGACGTCGTAGATACGTAATCTTTAAGAGTAGAAAATCTTGATGTTATTTAAAGTTACTTAATTACATTTAATACAATTTTTTCAGTTCAATTTTACAGTCTCCCCATGACCACAGCTGCTGCAAAGTATCCGAAACGTCAAGACGTAATTAATAGTTTGTAAATAAGTTCAACTAATACATTTCGCATTTTAAACCGTTAAAAGTGTTTTATTCAACATGGAACTTTCTAACGTTGTATATTAATTAAATAGAGCCGTTTTATTTATATGTTTTAAGTTGAATAACTAAAATTAATTTAAAGTATGGAGGGGATAAAGAGGATTTTCTTTCTTAGTAGTCGGTTGAAAAATATTCCTAATGCGATAAAGAGATTCCTACGATCTGATAGCTATGGCGATAAAAAATTCATATCTTATAACATCGGTGCTAACAGCTTCGCGAATCTTTATCGATATCGGCTTAGAGCTCCGGCTCTTAAACTGTCAGACCCTGCGAGGGTCTTGGGACGACCCCGATTTATTGCTGAATAAGTTTGCAAAGTTGGATTTTTAAGCGTTATAAATCGCTTGGGCATAATGTCCTAATTACACTGTTTTCTTGATAACTTAATACTTATAAGGAATATAATTAAAAAAATATAACTCTTAACGAAATATTATAAAATTAACTTAATTAAATTTACTAACTTCCCTTTGAGGTTTAGTCAAATACATTTAGTAGTTTTGTCCTATGTCTTTATTTCAGGTTAAAAATCACAATGTTGACTTATCAATAAAAGTACGTCATACAACTGAACTTTCTCGAAACATAATCTCTGTCTTACCATGAATAATTATTATCATGCATCAAGAAATATTAACTAACTGAAATTCTATTTTTTACGATAAAGGACGACAAGACAAGCGTAAGTTGGAAGAGGTAAACTTCAGCAATATAACATCTAAACAAAATGCCCTGTCAACCTATTTTGCACATGGATATTCGGATCCTAAAAAAATGAACCGAAACATGTCAACATTTTACGGCTTTTTCGTCTGTGGTTTGAAATTGACTAAATTACGATGATCGTACTTACTAATTTGACGACGAGATTGAATATATACTGTCAATAGTTTACGCGAGTAGTACACATTTAAATGAAACACTTTAACGGTTGAAAACGCGATATATTAGTTCCCAGTCTCCCCGTGACCACGGCTGCTGCAAAGCATCCGAAACGTCGGGCTGAAGTTAAAAATCATTTCCAAATAAGTTTAACTAATATATCGCGTTTTAAACCGTTAAAATGTTTTATTTAAATGAGATTGAATATGTTTTAGATATTTTATAAATTAATTAGAAACAACTTAAACCCGATGAATCGAACCCCATCTCGATGATTATTGGCCGTACATTGCTACTATTACACCAACGCACCCGTTAAACATATTTTTATTCATACATTTATATATTTGAAATGATTTAAGTGTAGTGATTTGACAAAGAAAACATTTCTCTTAAGACATCAAATGTTAAAGCATAGAATTTCAGCATGTAGAGAAAAGTAAAACAATAGAATCGTTGAAGTTAACTGAGAGAGAAAAGTACTAAGGTAACATAAACTGGTTATTGTTGTTCGTAGAGCGGACTGTAATGAGACCGGCAGTGCTTGTAAACACCTATCAAATACACTCGCTGTTCTTGTTTCTTATTATCTCCTGGTATAGTTCCTCTCGAAGTATAGATGCTCTTAATAGTAAGTAGAAACGTGATGTTCAATTGCTTCAATACTTACTTTACACAAAAACTATTTTTAATATTTTTAACACATATCCATACATATAATATATAAGCTGATGAGTTTGTTTGTTTGAACGCGCTAATCTAAAAAACATGTATGAAAATATTGTTCCTGTTTAAATGATCTACAAAATATCCCCAACACTATATGTCTATCTTTTAAAATTAAATTGCAAGAACGATGGGATGTGACGATGACGTGGCCAGCTTAAATTCATAAAGATGTACCGAGTCAATACCAATAAGTAAATCAAATGATATTTACTTTAAATTTGTAAGCGTTCCTCAAATAGTTCGGTCTTTACATCTCAGGAATAAAGGTTAGAATATTATATTTCTCGAGATATCGATTCGTCGAGTTGAATTATATTTAGCTTTCATTAAGTAGACCTAGAGGTTGGGTTCCACTCGTTTGTAGGTCATTGGTTGTTTTTAGATACCAATTCTTAAATACAATACTATTTAAAAGTCTCTCTAGTTCACTTTTTCGTTTAGAAGGTTAATTCAACATATGAAAATTAACCTTATTTTCTTATGATGTACATAACATAAGGAAGTTTTTTTTGACAAAAAAATATGTGACTATACAACGATTAATTTACTAAAATCTTTTTTTAGACGTAAAAACGTCGGCAATAAGTTGTTTCAGTTAGTTGTTTTCAGGTGTTTGTTTCAGTATTGTAGAATTGTAAGAAATTGTAAACTACTTCAACAAAACACGGATATAAAGCAATACAATATTAATTGTTAGATAAGTGGGGCTTTGTGTCTTCACCCTAAAAACCATTAGTAGGTATAGGCAATATTAAGATTATTGGGAGGTACACATTTACATGTATTTGAGTTGAGTATTATATTAATTAATAGAATATGTAAGAAAAAGCTACAGACAGTTCCATACTATTTCTCTACTCATTGAGCTACTGTTTACCGCATGTTTTAATTTGTGTTTTTTTAGTCTGTAAATTTCTTGCTGATTGTAATGTAAACCTACTAACGTATTAAGGACATTGAAGTCCTTAACATACAGAGTTATTACTGAAATTTCCACTCGAATTTTAAAGGCAAATACTTATTATTCCGGATATCACGAGATTCATTACTAATTAAATATAAAACAATTTTGTCACAAGTAAGAAGGTAGTTTTGTATTAACGGTGTCTGTCTATGTGTTATTTGTTTAACATCATTTTATTGTACCCATTTACATTATGTACATTGGAAGCAATTTATTTTTCTTATAAAACTCTTAATAAAACATTAATGGAAAACAAAGCTCATAGTTGTAAATCAGCTTTTGACTTGTGTTTGCTGAAATTCTCGAAATATATACCGGAAATCATCGCCCCTGATAACGTCGACGCAGAACAGTTGCACCGATTTCACAATATTTTTCTCAATTCCCACGAAACTTCGAAAGTTCGACCAAATCCTTATTTCCCTAAGGTAAACGCATTTCTGGCACTTGCCTTGTAAAGCTATTCCGGGTGTTGACAAAATCTCTAACGGTTTGTTTGATGCCTCATCCGTTCCCTGATACTGATGACAGATATATCGTTACAAATAGTCGCTCGTTTTCATCAACATACATTTCTTAATGTTTTAATAACTAAATCGATAAATAATATTTTCATTTCAGGGCAAAGGAAAGCTCTTATAATAAAAACATTGACAATATAACTCTTATAAATATACGACTCTGGCAGGACTTAAACCGTCACCCACAGCCTTTCGTGCTGTTGCTCTAACCAATTGAGCTACCGAGTCCTACGCGTCACCTCTCTCAATGTAATTTCAAACTGAGCATTTGCGGCTTAAGCTTGCGTGTTTTTTTTTTCAAT